AAAGAAATGACTGACTTGACAAGCGGCAGAGAGACTGTCGAATGAAAGGGTATGCCAAGAGAGGAAATGATTCGAAAATGATGGAGAGGAAAAGAGAAAAGGGTAAGAAAAAGCAAACCTATTAACTTTACGGTAGTGATGATTCGATCGTGAGAATCGAAAGATGTCGAGAAAGGAGCCACCTTACGTGATCCGATGACTTCTGTTACTGAGATGAGACATGAGGCAAACGAGATGTCAATTTCGTGTTTGCTTCATGAATCGATTCCATCATCACAAGCCTCTACTCATTCGACTCTGTACATACGGATATTCATCTTCTTTCGGTCCCCCACTTCAATCTTACAGCACATGGCAAGGGACGGAACCGCACGTGGCATCGGAGACAGCCACGGTCCGGAGAACTATTGAACCTTTTGAACAACAACATATGCAATGTGATTGTGATATAAAATCCTCTGATGCAGAACAAGTCGACTTGAGAGTCCATTGATGATGACTCGAGCAATTGAGCAATTTATGTCCTTTCACAACATCCTATTTGGGCATGCTAAGGTTCCTAGATTTCCGAGTCAGCCTCAATCCCACCCACCCAAAAGTCACTTCTCTACTGTCGAGCCCTGCGGTTTTCTATGCAAGTCTCCCAGGCACAATCACACTGTCACATTTGAACCCTTGTTCTTCCCCGGTGCATGATCCCTGTAGAAATCCAGGTACGTTTTCTACACATATCTCTAGACTCTCCTCACGCATCTCTCCCTTCGTCCTATCTCACTATCCTCTGTGTACTGTACTCACTTGCGCTGACTCGAGTACCAGCAGCACCTTCTCTATGGTCCACTAGCTCTTGTCGATCCCGTCTTCGAGATGCAAGCCAGGATCTTTGTGCAGATTGTCCGGTTCGCTGATCTACCAGAGCATGGACCACGCACCACGGCCCAGTGACAACCGCCGCGCGTGTGTGGCCAGCAGGGCATTATTCGGTTTCCCAATAGCTTGCGGTCGGCCTGCCCTCTTTGGTCCCAAAAGGAACACCGGGGCTAGTCTTACGCTTGACAAGGGAGAGACAATTTACACTGGTAAATCACCCGGCACTAGTCAGCACAAGTCAGGGGTAAACCTACTGCCCCTAGGAGCCAGAAAACCTGGGACCTCGATCCTGAGTGACAAAATAAGTCTTATGAGAAACCTCCCAACCTTAGAAGAAAAACTTACCTAAGATTATGGTGATTTGCACAAGTATTTTTGTCACTTTTGATCAAAGTCCCAAGTTTTCTGGGCCCCCCTGGACTGTAATTGCATGCTCATAACGGCTTCTTCTTTCCATCAAGCTTCTGCTGACTCTCCCCCATGAAATGGGCTCTTGTGTCTATTGGTCGCCTGATGATAATAGCGTGGGCTATTAAGAGTCTGTGCGAGCTTGTCTTTTAATGTTGTGCATCGTCAATCCACGCCTCACCCGCACGCACGAGCATGATGGTTTGTTAGTGACGTTACTTTCCACAGCACAACTTTATTTAAACAATATCAGAGTTTAAGCATGAATAATGAACAGAAATGCTTCATCACAGCTTGTCAATTCTTCACAAGTCCTCTCCAATGTCTTGCATCATCGTCGATCTAATCGATGAGTATCCACAGCTTCGACCCGACAAGCAAAAGAACCTTTCATCACAACAATCACAGCAGCAAAAACAGAAGCTTGGTACCAAGAATGGCTCTGACCCTTGATACCATCGGGCCGGATCGCCTTCCCCCGGCGGGCCCAAGCCAAATTTGGTGCTTTACCGGGGGGTTATTCCGACTGCTCTTTTGAATCCCAGCCGTTCTGTTCCTGGCTAAACGAAGCGGAACCAGTCAACCGCAGCCTAGAGAAAGAGGGCCAAGGTTGCAGCGAGATTAGGGGGGATGGAATTTTCGAAATGGAAGCTCGGGAGAAGGGCTCACGAATGTGATGGCTCACGTAGAAAAGTGCCGCCTTTCAGCATTCCAGTCGACGGACAATATCACCGACCCGAGAAACTCTCCAACGTCCAGGTAAACTTAACTTGTTCAGGATATCTTTAAGCGGTTGGGATACCACGCTAACTAATGAATTGGGTCTTGGTAATGCACTCAATCTTGCATATCCATTCCGCACCATTTTTACGATTACCTCAATTCGGACGAAAGGGCGGCACAGTCTTGCTGAACTTGGCCGATATCTATGTACAGTGGCCGATATTACGGTACATCCATCCCCAAAGTGCCCAATCTACGGATACAGAGCCATCCCAATATCTCAGTAACATTTTGCGTTGTTTTTCATCACTGCTCATTTACCAGCTTTCACAAATCCCATGTCTCTCCCAATAAAAACAAACCCCCTGGCACCGGGAATCTTCCCCGAACGCTCCCTCGGTTCCGTCATTTCATTTCAGTTTCTCGTTAACAACGCCCTTTTCTTCCCATCCCACATGGCAACCTTTCCTCGCTGGTAAACTCTCATTCAGCCTTTACTGGATATTGACCATGTGCGTGGCGTCGGGCTTTCTGTATTAGGTTCAGCTAGGCTTGTCCTAGATACAAATCCGTGTCTGTGCCGTGCCCCGGACTCTGGACGGTTTTTGTCTTGCATGACTCTTGCGCTTTGATCTCCAGTTCACGCTGTGGTGACCTGATCCTTATCCTACTGCCAGGACCATCTCTGTGCCCGGGTTGAGAACATGTGAAGGCTGGCTGAGACAAGAAGTCATCGAGATGATGGGGAAAACATGAGAGATACCGAAAGGATACATCTTTTTTCAGGGTTCACGAGGCAGCAGTAAATCCCCTGTCATTACCACGTTTTACCACATTCTGGGGACTATTGACGCCGCAGAAGTGCATAAAATCCCATGTCCTTCAACCCATTCCATGCATTCCCCCCAAAAGAACCCATATCCGAATATCATCCAACACACACGCCCATCTGCACCATCGCTCCCACTTCCCATCCCTAGACCCAACGACTTTCTTCGAGAACAACGCACCAGGGGCAATCCCGGACCGTTTCAGCCATGGCCAGAAACAGACCTTCCCTCCGAAGATCCCCTTCGCTTCGTTGACCAGAGAGCCGGTAACCTAGACTGTTCTCGTCATTTAAACTTTCTCGCTTGGGTTTCAGAATACGGGTTTTTGTCCTGACTAACGGACGTTTTTTTGGTCGGATGGGTTTGCGACAGGAGCGCAACAGAAAACGGTAGCTGACTCGCTTGGGGATGACGATTGATTGCCTGAAACGCACTTGGAATGACATGCTGGTGATGAGATAGATCGAAGCTTGTCTGTTTCCGGGTGAGGTTGGGCTGAAACTGAGGTCCATGGTGAGTGGTGACAGTTCCGATGAGATTTAGTCTGGATGAACATGAATCGGCGATGATCTTTACGTCAACGATGTAATAGGAGACATCGCAAATGTCCAGAGTTGTCCAGTGCTTGCGCCTCGATGACCAAATTGGCCAAAGAATGCGAGCCTAAAGGGACTCAAGTCATGGTGCCTGAACAGTATGAATGCTAAGCTTTGTCTCATCAGCAGCCACAAGCGGTTGAGCAGCTTAGCTCCTCGGAGATGCTCATCAAGGAACACTCAACTGAAGATGGATTCGAGCGGCGTCGATATCTGAAACTACCTATCTTTGAGTTTGTGCACTGATAAGTGCCAGCCCTATTCATGCCTTACACTAGTTCAGCTGAGGTAGCATAACAACAACGTCACGACATTTACAAGGCATAAACGTACAGTTGTGGCATTCATATTAAGTTCACATTCACAAGTGATGAGTGTAACGTTTGCTCCGCCGGCAATGGGTTGCGGATAGAATGATATGTGACTGTAGTTAACTGCCGAGTTGTTGCAACGAGCCGTGTTTGACGTTGCGTTTAAGCTCATGGATCATCAAACGTGCTGCCGCGCGTATAAGTCATGTTACCTGACGATATGTCCATTGGACAGGGTCCAGGCTGGATTGAGAGAAGGGCACTTATGGAAATAACTGTAATATGCGGACATGGCCTTCAACTTCAGGCTCCACTGGGAACGCCCAACTGTTGCTTTACATGAATCCAAAAATAGAAAGTGAGCGTCTTTCTTGACGTGAACCTCAACCGGGTTCATATGGTGCCGGAAACGTTTAGCAGTCATGATGTTCTCCAAGTTATCCTATCTAGACCAATTGAGACTGAAAGAGAGTACTGTTTAGTACGCAACGATAAGAGTCAGTAAGCGATCCAGAGATAAAATAGAGTTCTTATCAGTACCTCAAAACATCCAATAGATACTTAGTTGGTTCTCTAAATTTTCTCTTATCCTCTAGCTTGTTAGAGTGGCTTGTTCTAACGACTTGTGCCGGGTAGGTTCTGAATAGCCTCCTCGGTTCAACTTACGTCGAGAACGAATTAGTCATGCTACAGTTTCAGCATGAGAGTAAACGTGATTGGTAAGCTGTTTTTGTGTGCTTTTACGATTCGCCGAGGAGGCTGTGTCCTTTTGCGTGATGTAATGCAATGGCCACTGCAGGTCTAATTGGTTGTAAACCACAAGTAAATCCTCATTGCTGCATTTAATATTGGTCGCCGCCTGTTGTCTCGTAGAGACATTCACTCAGGATTCTCATAGTAAATCTAGGCTCTGATGACATCTCCAATCTACAGGAGCCCAGTAAAGACCATTCGTTAACTCATCTCGATCAAGTCAAGAGGCAGAGTTATACATCTTATCAATTAGGATCCGTCGAAGGGATACCATCTACGAGCCCTTCACTTGTAATTCCTGCCTTCAGTCTCACCGCGTGACCTAGAAAGGTGGCGCTTTCCAAATAACAAGGCGGATCAGCACAGCCTGATTGGGCTGTCCAACAAATCAGTCTCTAACTTCTCCTTTCTCCTTATATTTACCTCCGATTCGTTTCTAACATGGACCTGCCGCATCATTGATGAAAAAACTGCACCTAAACAGTCGATACTGAAGTGTGACCTACGATATGTCGGGCTTTGAGATTCTCGGGGCCATTGCGAGCTCTATCGCTCTGACGCAAGCGGTCAAGGGGACAGTCAAAGCCATAGACTTTCTACGACAAGCCTCAGAAATGAAAAAAGAGTGTGATAGATTGAAGACCGAAGTAAGTGTGCTGGATGAACCTCATTATGACTTATACTGAGAATTACAGATACTCATGATAGACTACTTCATCGTGAAGGCGAGACAGCAGACAGATCCTATGATGCCAGCACAACGACTACTCGGATCCGCAGAATACCCAATAGTCACCTTAGCGACGCAAGAGCTTGAGGGGATTCTGGAAGAGCTCAATGAGATTGTCAAGAAATATTCACGCTCCGGTACGGCCTACGACCGAAAGCGATACACAAATAAGATGAAATGGTTATCAGATGTAAGCAAGATTGAGGAGCTTCGAGAAAGAGCTCAGGCTATGAAGTTCAACCTGCACACGGCAATGACGTTTCGAGTTTCTTCCATGGTAGATCGAGGAAATGTGCGACAAGAAGTGTGAGTTCTGGTCATACTGTCCGCTGTCTAGACTGACGCATAGGCAGGCTCTTCCACAGTGTGACTCAACAGTTAACTTACTATACACAAGAAACTCATAATATCTCTCAAACGCCGCCCAAACTACTTCAACCCCCCCATCCCATGCCAGAAGATCCAAGCACAAGTCTACAACCGTGGACCCAAGGCACAAAGGCTCACAACAAGCCCGACCCATCAACAACGGAAAGGGACAGAGTTACTGAGGACAGGACATTTCCCTCGGCACGCGTATCTACTCATGAAGTCCCTAATATCAATGAGGAGAGTCTTATTAGTGTCACAGCCATTCAACCCATGGGCATACGTTCATGCGGCCTGAAGTGCCAATGTCGATGTCACCGAGAACGACGAGACCAGACTGGTGCCTGGGCAAGCTCTCTCCTCTCTTCATGGATAGTTCGATATGAAAGGATAGACACCGATTACCAAAGAACATGCAGATGTAGGTCCAGCTTCGAATTCGAATTTCGACTTCCAAATTGGCTATGGGCAGGAGTCCTTTCGTTCAAGACATCGCGAGGGCCAGGTATTAGCTTCTCCTTACGTTTATCAAGGGTTCTCGAATCAGACGACAATTTATGGATGACAATGACGAATCCATCGTTACTAGAAACTCGCCTTAGAGAGGGGTTTGCGTACTTCCCGGACGACGTAGCTGGAGGTGTCTGGCCCTTGTTGTTGGTGAGTAAATCAGGTCTACAATAGCGTGATAAGTATACTGATACGTTTACTAGATAGCATTGAGGAACCAGAGTTCAGATAGCATGGAAATCCTTCTCAAGCTATGGAAAAACATATTGCCAAGTCAGGGGCTATCTAGATTCGTCCCGATACAGTATGCATATGATGGCCACAACTGATGCTGGGTAGAGAAATCGGATACCGACTGAAAACACATGCTGTTATATATAAGTGGACTGGAATGATTTCAGTGATAACCAAAGCACTGTCTTTTGTGCAAGATTGGGAAGACGTGGTCATGACTAAAGTTCACATAGCGGCATCAGAAGGTGGAGTGTTGGACGCGTTACGGGAGCAACCCTGGGCCATCGACGAACTCAACGAATATGGAGAGGCTCCAATCCATGTTGCGATTGGTTGTAACAACTTCAGAGGATTCGAGCAACTGATCGCAGCCAATGCTGACATCAATCGGCAAACTGGTTTCGGCAATACTCCCCTCATGAGGGCATCCTACTACGGGCGCGACACGATGGTAAAGAAAATTTTGGGGTACAGCGAGTGCCGGAGGCGTATCGGGCAAAGCACTGCAGTAGGCCAAACGGCTCTTCATTTTGCTGTTCAATCAGGATCTGCAACCTGTGTCAGATTGTTGCTTGAGGCTGGAGCGTCGGCACTAAAGCTCAATCAACTCGGCGAAACTCCAATGCACCGCCTTGCATGGGGAGAACAAGATGGCCAGCAAGAAACTTACGAGATAATCGAACTTCTGAAAGCTCACGGGGCTGATATCGAATCAAAAAATCGTGATGGTTGGACACCAATGTTGTGGGCATGTGCAAAAGGCAATGTCCCTGTCCTAAGAGCTCTTGTTAGGGCTGGTGGGTCACTCAGCGCCATCAGCTCACACCGACAAGGCATACTTCATCGGGCAGCTTGCTCCAACAATTTCGATATTGTCCATTGCTTAGCAGAGCAAGACCTTGACGGTATCGATCCGCAACTTCGAGACCTCTCCCAGGGCGAAACTCCCCTGGGCAGCTTGAACAGCTTGATTTGGATCCTTGGTAAATGTGTTGTACCTTCTGATCCTATGCCAACTCCAAATCAGCAGAAAAGTTTCATCAAGCTGTATTTCGACTTGTTGATACGAGACTTGGAGCGTCACATGTCAACTCTCCGGAATATTCAAGAATCAATACAGGACAGAGACCCTGAGACTACAACAGAACTCCTCCACATACTTATTAAGAGGAACGAGGCCAGTTTCCGGCAGGACCTCGTTGACTGGTATAGAGGATTCATATTTTATGTTTCAGATGGTCAGTGGGATCATTTGAAGCAGGCGATTTGCGACGAATATGATGAGACATCTGAGAAAGCTCAAAGGGCAGCAGTTGCGAGAGAAAAGAAGATGGCAGATCCTGAGATGAAGGAATTCTTTTAAGAGCAAACATGGAGCAACAGGATATTGAATTATTGAGTCGCGCCGGGCCTCAAAGTAACAGGTTGTGTATTCCTTCCAGAGCTAGCTATCTACAAATCATCTCTTCTCGGTGACTTCCTCCGTCCTTGTCTGCTCGTCGTCTCCCTGACCATAGAGAACATGATCAGACAAATCCTCGATCTTCAAGAAACACTTTCGGCCCTTGATAACCCAGAATCCAAGTCCAATGACCAGCATGACTCCAAAAACAACAATAGCAAAGTTCATATCTCCAACAGCTGGGTTTGGTGATCCTGGGAAGAAGAAGAAAACAGTCGTTATGACGGTGTAGATGATGGAAATAATGTTGACTGCTGGCCCTAATCTTCCAAGACCAAACTCTCCTCCTGCAGGTAGCTTATCTCGGCCAACGGCCATCAAGACAGCGATGGGGATCGCGTATGAGATTGTCAGTGCGATAGTGCTGACACTCAAGATGGCCGAGAGAGTAGTGCTCGAGAAGAAGTATAGGAATCCAAGGATGTTGATGAAAGCTCCTTGGAGGATCAAAGAGCGTGCGGGGACTTGCCAATAGGGGTCGACGTAGGCGAAGTAATCGCCATATGGTAGACCACGATCACGAGCAAAACTCCAGGTCAATCTCGAAGCTGAAGTCAGGATTGACACACCCTGACCAAACCCGTTGAAGGTGAACAGGGCGATCAGCACCGCACCTCCTTTGAGACCAACGACGTTCTGAACAACCTCGATGAAAGGGAATCCAGAGGGCGCATCCAAAGTCGTAGCAAGGTCTTGAATGCAGAACAGGCAGGCAACCAAGAAGATGAATCCTGAAATAGCACCCATCACGATTGCCAGAACCATTGTTCTCGGGGCATTTCGTCGAGGCGCGGGGATTTCCTCAACCATGTGAAGAACAGAATCATATGCAGTGAGGGCATACGCAGACTGAACGAGTCCGAGGAACCAAACGACGCCATCAGCCCAACCTGTTTCATTGATCCAAGTTCCAAAGACAAATTTCGGAGATTGATACTCGAGAGTTGAGTTCGTTCCAACGAGGATGGGAAGGGCGAGACAGAAGGCGATGAAGAGACCGACGAAGCCAACGGCGACAAAGTTGTTGAACCAGGGGAGGAACCTTTCTGAGCGGCAGCCGACGTAGTTGACAAAGGCAAACAAGATGTTGATCCCAGTGTAGACCAGAAACATGAGCCATCCGTTATTCATTCCTGTCCACTCGGGATCAAACATGAGTTTCATCGACAGCACAAACTCCGCCATGAATGCAATCTGCGAAGCAGACAGACACCACCACCCAACAACACTGATAAACGCCGTCAAGTAACTCGCAAACCTGCCCCACGAGGTCTTCCAAAGCTTGCCCACCCAGAGCGCTTGTCCAAGAGCCGACGGCATACTAGAACACATTTCACCAAGAGACATGGCGATACACACATTGCAGAGTGTGACGAGGACAAGGCCCCAGAGACAAGTAACAGGTCCACCGTTCTGGATACCTGTTGCGAGGGATTGGGCGCAGACTGCCCATGTACCGAGAATGCAGAAGGCGAGGGAAAGCATGCTCAGGGTGCTGAATTTACGGGTGAGTGCCTGCTCGTGCCCGAGGGCTGCGAGGTCGAGGGCATCGCGTTCGGCCTGGTTCATTTGTGTTGTTTTCTCCATGGTACGCCAGAGCTTGAGTCGATGGTCGGATGAGTGTAGTAGAGGGTTGTGATCATTCTCTGGCAGTGAGCAAGTAAAATGTATAATAGGATGTATATCAGATATGATATTGAAGTCGATATTGAACTATTTGTTGATCTACTACAGGACATGGCCGTCTTACATATCCATCACTTATCTTTTACCCCAGACTCCAATGTTACACCAGCCCGTGCGCTAGCAAACCTCCACATAGAAACAACGTGCAAAGTATACACCCTTTTCAGTTTAGTGCAGGCGATTTGGTAGGTTTCCGGGTGGGTTTCCAACTGGAGAATAGATCGCTTCCAGGGACTGCACGGGTGACTTGGCCGGTTGGTACCTTATCTAACGGTCGCATTACCTCATGGGTTTTGGAGGGGGCTGATAAGGATGGAAGTTGGAGATATTGGATCTAGAACGAGCCATTGGGGGTTGCTATTGGTTGTTAATCTACGAAGAGTTAGCTATCGCTTTAACATTCCTAAGAGGGTAATGGGGGACAGAAAAGGGAGGGGTCGTCATCTGCAGACTCTAGAGACTCGGTATTTATCACAGCTTCATATTTTATGAGCCCTTCATGATGGCTTGTGTGAATTCCTATTTCGAGGAAACTGTTGAGAATAGAAGCTTTCATCTAACTGTATGCGTTGTAGACTATTGAGAAACGGTCGTAGAAAGAAGTGTCCATTGAACTTTGCTCAAAGAGCTGTGTCTATAAAGATGAAGCTGTATTCGCTACCTCAAGTTTTACCATCCCAACATTTGTTAATCAACACATGCGCTAGTCACCTTTACACCTTGTATCAAGTACCATGGCCGATAGTGAGTCCAACACAGTGGTTGGAGAAGAACAGTACGAAGAAGCACGAAAGAACTGGCTCGACACAGCCAAAGTAGCCCAACAAGCCAAAAACGAAGCCAAGCAGAAGTACAACGAAGCCAACCCCGGCACACCCTACGTAGAATGGCTCTTGAGACAAGTGCGATACTATCACAAACCCATGTCGAACCTTAGCTGACCCCTACCAATAGAGTCCCGCATTCACCAGGGCCTACCATGCATTCGGTAAAGCTCAAGTCAAATTCGACGAGGTCTATCTCGAGTATGATAATGCAGCGGCGCAGGCATGGATTGATACGAGGAATGCAGAGAAGAAGAGGCTGTGGAATAGAGATGAGGATGGGACGCCGTTCTTGATCATTCTGCCGGAGAGTATTCCTGGACCGCGCAAGACTTTGGAGGAGTTGTGGCGAGAGGATCCAAGCAGATATCAGTAGGACCTTTGTCTTGGGAGAAGTAGGTACAAGTTTGTATTCCCGGGCCGAGAATTATTGGCATTTGTAAGTTGATGCCAAGTTATGTAAGGATTAGGAAATGTTTTTGACCAGATATGTTCGTGCATTAGTATAGGTATGCTTCTGAAGTCTAAGTTGGTCGAAGAGCAGCGTATTATTGAGGCTGAGTACCAACTACAGCCAAGTCCACAGGGCTTATGCGTGCTGTAGCTAAAATGAACGTCAAGCAACACAGTGTACTCGATACTCAAAACACAACCAGCACAAACACTTCGCGATATGTTACAATTGCAATCTCTTTACCCCGTGGGGAAGATCTCACGATGATCCCAAAAAGCAATCCATCACGTAAAAGAAATAAACTCCCATCATCTTGATCGTGATAACACAAAAAGCATGGACGTCAAAATTGGGCTTCGGCATTGACCAGGATCATCAGCTCGGCCCACCCACGTCAGAGATGGTGCTTGTACGAATTAGGAAAGTTCGGGCGACGAGACTGATAAGACGGGATCATTTGTTCTGTATCAATTTTTGGAATTATTCTGTTTGACTACAATGTCCCAAAGTTCAGGGTCCTTTTGATGCCCGTCTTCTTCATTTCTTTTTGGCAATCTGATTCTCTGCTGCACTTTGAATCTGGCTGGATTAGTTATGTTCAAAGGTTATGAATGTGAGATGGACAACCTACTAAGCATAGTACACGGCCCCCTTCCTCCACGCTCTTCACCACGTACTCGACGCGGGTTCTTTTCTCCTTATTTCTGATTGACTGTGCATGTCACTGAACTACCGACTCTTTGCTTATGCGATGAGGTCGGCAACGTTCATGGGCATTTCGTCGATCTGGGTAGAGTAGTACACTAAAAAGTCAGCTTCATCCATGACCAGACGATATCAAGGACACTTACACTCAATGTCTCTCAGGATGCGCACATCTTCGGTAGTAACAAAGTTGATAGCGACACCCTTGCGACCAAACCGACCACTTCGACCGATGCGGTGGATGTAGTTCTCTCGGTTACTCGGAAGGTCGTAGTTGATAACTAAACTGACCTGCTGAACGTCGATACCACGAGCCCACACATCGGTCGAGATGAGAACACGGCTGTTACCCTGTCGAAAATCCTGCATGATGCTGTCTCGTTCCTTCTGGGGCATGTCGCCGTGCATGCTGCTGACTGTAAAGTTCGCCTCGCGCATCTTGTCGGTGAGCCAGTCGACCTTGCGTCGGGTGTTGCAGAAGATGACGGCTTGCGTGATGGTGAGGGTGTCGTAGAGATCGCATAGCGTGTCGAATTTCCAGTCCTCCTTCTCCACGGCGATGAAGTACTGCTTGAGACCTTCGAGGGTCAGTTCGTCACGCTTGACGAGAATGCGAACGGGATCAGTCATGAATTTGGTCGTCATGTCGAGAACGTCGTATGGGAGGGTGGCGCTGACGACCACGACTTGAGTGGCAGGGGGGAGGTATCGGTAAACATCGTAGATCTGCTCGCGGAATCCCTTGTTGAGAAGCTCATCGGCCTCATCGAGGACCAGCATCTTGATGTGTCTGGTGCGCAAGTGTCGTCGTCGAATCATGTCGGCCACACGGCCGGGGGTGCCTGAGACAATGTGTTGACCGTAGTCGAGCTTGCGGATATCCTCTCCAACGTTTGTGCCTCCAATACAAGCGTGACATTGCACGTTCATGTAGTCGCCCAGAGCCATGACAACGGATTGAATCTGAGTAGCCAATTCTCGTGTCGGTGACAGGACCAGAGCCTGTGTCTCTCGCACCGCGGTATCGATGACCTGCAGCATACTGATGGAAAAGGTAGCTGTCTTTCCGGTACCAGACTGCGCCTGGGCAATGGTGTCGCGACCCTTGCAGACCTGAACGATCGCTCGAGACTGAACAGCAGATGGCGACTCGTATCCGTAAGCGTAGATTCCACGAAGCAAGTTCTCTGCCAAAACATTAGCTACCTCACGAAACTGACCCTCACGACATACCCTTCAGCGACATCGATTCGAAAGTAGGATGGACCGTAACCTCCTTGGAGGTGGAAAATTCCATCCTCTCATCGGCCTTTCGATCAATTCCTCCAGCGCTTTCAGCCATGATTTCGTCTGTTGTTGATGATTATTTGTAAGGTGAAGAATTACGCTTTCGCGATGAAGTTGGGGCTTTTTCTGGGGTCAAAGTTTTGGTCCGCAACTTTTAGAGCAAAGACGTAACACGCGCGCCGGATATTCTTCGGTGGGAATTGCACGCCTGAACGCCACTAAAACTCGCGACAGGCTCCGTAATTTTTTAAAGCATCAGGCTCATCTCAACTTTATCATCTTCATTTGATTGAGGATCATTGTCTTTCCATTTTGTGATACCCGCGAGAGCTTTTGTAGACAATTTTCGCAAAGATGCTTGTTCTCGAAGAGCAGCGCTACATCCATGAGGATCTAGAGCGTCTGGAACAAGGTATCGCTGATCGCATTCGCGATGAGCCCAGACATGTGAGTAGCTTGAAACGCTTGATGAAGCGTCCACTGACTTTGCAGATCCGTGATCGCCTCAACAGAGATCATGAGATTTCTCAATTATTAGACCAGATCCAGGTTCAGTCGAAAAACCTCCTCGACATCTACAAAGACGAAAACGGTGTCCGGTCGCAAGAGATTCAGCAGATTGATACAGGCGACCCTTTCGCGGAGTTCTATAAGCAGCTCAAAGGTGTTCGTGAGCATCACGAGAGATACCCATACGAGCAAGCAGAAAACTCGGAGCAGCGATATCAGATCAAGAAATCAGATGGAGAGCCGCTACCATCTATTGTCGACTCTCTATTTTCTGGAGAGGAAGCATATGGCCGATTTTTCGATCTCAACATCTGTCACGAGGCTTACCTCAACCTTCCCAATGTTCGACGACTCACATATCTGCAATACCTCGAGAACTTCGACAATTTTGCACCTGGACATGGTGGAGTCACACGAGCCAACAAATTGACGGATCAGTACTTCAAGTATGTCGGACAACTAGCAGAGTACCTCGAGAGTTTCATGCGACGAACGCGGCCGCTGGAAAACGTGGACAAGGTGCTTGCGTCGTTTGACCAAGAGTTCGAGACGGCATGGGACAAGGATGAGATTCTGGGCTGGGAGAAGGACTCACATTCAACAAACGCCACTGCAAAGGAGACCAGCACAGCAGAAGCTGTATGGTGCGAAGACTGCGAAAAGGAGTTCAAGAACGAAAACGTCTACAAGAACCATCTCACAGGGCGAAAACACGTCAAGGCAGCCGAGCAGCGAAAACAGCGACAGGAGCAAGACTCGCCAGCCAACGGCGCAACTGGAACAGTCTCAGCGACACGACTAAAAGAGCGCGCGGTAGCCGAACGAGAGTACAGAGTCAAGCGCCTAGCCAGCGCCATGAGCACCGAGCGAAGCGACACCAGAGTCAACGTCGAGCGCAAGCAAGGCATGACCGAACGCGAACGTGCCCAAGAACTCGAGAACTTCTTCAATGCCGAGGATACATCCCAAGAAGTCCAAGACGACGGCGAGGGCGAAGACGAAGACGGCGAGGAGCGAATCTACAACCCCCTCAAACTGCCTCTCGCATGGGACGGCAAGCCAATCCCCTTCTGGCTGTACCGCCTTCACGGGCTGGGTGTCGAGTTCCCCTGCGAGATCTGCGGAAACTTTGTATACATGGGTCGACGAGCCTTCGACAAGCACTTTAATGAAGCGCGACATATCTACGGTCTTAAGTGTCTGGGCATCACCAATACGACGTTGTTCCGCGATATTACCCACATTGAGGAGGCGATGCAGCTGTGGGAGAAGATTCAGAAGGAGAAGAAGCGCACAAAGGTTGATGAGGGAAGTGTAGTCCAGATGGAGGATGGGGAGGGCAATGTCATGCCTGAGAAGGTTTACCTGGATCTGCAGAAGCAGGGATTGTTGTAGATATATTTGTATTGTATGGTAAAGAACGAGGCCGGTGTCTCGGAAATAATCTGGGTTTATTACGTTCATGATGGCTTGTCTCATTACTCTTGAATGTCCGTGATAGCTAGTGAAAGGGGTCAAGGCATCATGACTTGATTAGTCATGACTTCATCGCCCCTCCAACTCACGCTCACACCAAGTAAACATCACCATCAATTCCATCATCAACAATCATGTCACAGCTCTCAAGACCCATACCAGCCCTTTACGCCGTATACGTGCTCCGTTCAACGAAGCGCCATGCATCAATCTACATAGGCTCAACGCCTCATCCCCCAAGACGTCTGAACCAACACAATGGCATGGCACGAGGTGGTGCAGTACGCACTGCCAAAGACACACTACGACCATGGGAGGTTATGATACTTATCACAGGATTCCCAAGTTCGATTGCTGCTCTGAAATTTGAGTGCGTAAAAGTCATGATGTGTGAAGTTTCTAGCTGACTGAGTTTTCACAGATGGGCTCTAACGAACCCTCATTTAACGACACATATATCAACAGAGGAACGCATAACGACAAGGGCGCCTAGGAAAAAAGGACAACGGAAGTCCCGGAAGCCTATTCACAGTCTGAGATCCGTGGTATCGAATCTTCATTTGCTTGTTGGCGTGTCGAGTTTTGCACGCTGGCCACTTACCCTGCACTTCTTTGTCCCAGAGCCCAAGAAAGCTTGGGATAGTTGGCTAAAGGCCAAGGAGACAACACCACGGGAGGGCATCAAGATTATGGAGGACTATGAACCAGATGAAGGGTCAAGCGGGACCAAATCTGCTGAGCCTTGGGGTATTCGCGCTCTGCCACTGGATTATGCGCCCATCAAGCCGTACGTCGAGAAGGCGCACAACGTCGTGAAGTTTGAACGAGAAGGGAACTGTGTCCATTGCCACGAAGCACTAGAGTCAGGAAAAGGACTTCAACCAATGTGTCCCCATGACGGATGCGAAGCAATGGGCCATTTGGACTGCTGGTCAAAACACGCCCTTAAAGGTGAACCAAAGGAGATATTGCTTCCCTTATCATGCACGTGTCCAAGCTGTGGTGGCAAGATTAATTGGAGCGACATGATGAAGGAGTTGACGCTTCGTGTAAGGGGACCGAAGGAGGTTGCGAAATTGCTTAAGAAGAAACGGCGGACGAAGAAGGAGATTGCGGCTGAAGTTGAAGCTGAGGAGGATATTTGAGATGGCTTGTTTTTTTTTTTTTTTTTTTTGCTTTTGGCGTTAATATGAAGATACCCGCTCTGCATTTTGTTAAGCTATTGTCAATGTTCAGTCTACGTGAGCATGCTTTTGATCAATCGTCGACCACAGCTCGACAGCTAGTTGTCATGGTGGTAGTGCAAAGTAAGTTTAAGCCCTCGCATTAAGGTGTTGCTGTTATTCTTCACAAGGACAATCAAGTTTGAGATTTGGGATACCGCTGGCTTCTTGAACATCACAATAAGCAAGAAACCTGAAACCTTGAAGCAAAACACCAATATTAACTCTGTAAAAGGACTGCTAAGTCCTTGCACAATTCACCTGAGTGTGTCTTTGTCATTCAGGGCTGAGGTCCCACGCTCTCCGCGAGGGGCAAGAAAATAACAGACCTTGATATAAGGTGTCAAAATAAACTCAGCAAATGATATCCTAAACTTAATAAAGGTATCCTAAATTTATATAAGCTTACCTAAGTCTTTTTATCATCTGGAATTAAGGTCCTCAGTTTTCTTCCCTCCCCTAGACTCTTGTTTGAAGCCTCACCCAAATCATCGTGTGCCCCGGTTCCCCACGCAATGATGCTGACCAGGACCCCGGCGTTTGTGCTGAACGTCATCTCGTCGTGATTGGCTCGTAAGCGGTCCATTATTAACTAACCCCTGTTCATTGAAAGTTCGATATCAGATTGGATTTTTTCTGGGCCCGCCTTTTGTCTCTGGGCCGCCAGACTTTTAGGGGCATGCCATCGCTATTGAGCGGGACAAAAGGCAGCCACACAACTGGACAAGAAATATGATGATGCCAGTCAGCGCGTGACTGGTTTCAATGTCACCCAGGCTCTGCCGCATTCGGATACCTCCTTCTCCATGACGACGTGGCCGTAAGATAAATATTTTCTCGTCTGTCAGACTTGTTCCCTTCGCATTGATCATGATATTAATGCTGAATGTGTAGGGTCACAAGCTGGCGATGCTCAATGGATACCAATAACCTCATAAGGCTGTGGCATTCTCCCTAAATTTAGCGGTTGCGTCGCAAATGTGTGGGTTAGAGTTCGACTAGACCCAGACGCTACAGTGACCGCGTGCCGACAAAGAGCCCTTCTTCCAAACCGACATCTTCTTTGTTCTTGACATTGGAAGCTACTTTTGTGGACATTGACGATGTGATTCTCGGTAATGGGGGCACCGGCCGGATGTCGTCGCTAGTGGGTCCGCCACATGAGTTTTCGGGGCCCTGTATCAGGACGGCGTTTTTGAGCGCTGAAACAGCCAACAAAGACTTGATTGGGAAGAAAAGGCATCGTTGGAACGCGATATAGTCGGTAATAAAAGAATAATGATACGATGGACATTTTAAAGTCGTAGTTGCCCAGAAAATTAACTGCATTTCTTGTACCTGCTGGTCCGAACCCACCGGCCCTGCCTCCGTACAGTCAGTGACAGAGAAGGCGGCGGGTACTTGTGCCTGGCGCCAGAATCGTGCTAAACAGAGGTACCTACCTGCCCGTCCAGTCCACTTTAGTCTTTGGCGTGCACTTACCAGGAACCTCCTGCCGCACCCTGGCCTGGGCTTCCTTCCCTTCACACCCTCGTCCCTTGTCCCTTCTGGGTTCCCTTTGTGTGTCTAGGTACCGTCCGTCCTTCGTCGCTCGCTCGCGCCTCCAAGATCTGGGATTCCCTCGACCCATTCCCACCTTCCCAACTTCCGTTCCCACTCACACCCTTCACCCTCTGCTCCTTCCTCACTCTTAATTCTTTCATTCAGCATCAACTGTCCCTAACAGAGCGGTTGACTGGTTGTTTCAAGCCATTACCACTACGAACATCAACTTTAGGGACTTGATTCGAAAGTCACGATAACTTCTGTGTGTTTTGCACAGCCGGCCTTTTTTATATCGACTTACTCGTGCGTATATCTCGTGTTAGTTGGAGATACTTCCTCGTACTCCCTTCCATGGTATCAATCAAGTACAACTCACCACTAACATTAGATTCTAGGTGCGAAGCTCGATATACATCGCCTTTTCAGTCATCATTCATACCTGGTTTCTCGTCGCGATTGAGACCTTGTGGCCTGCGATGCTGGTGAATTATTGACGACGGCCTGCCCGAGTATGAAGTCGACGTACGCCGCGTAATCGTAACGCTCGACCGATCCCAATCCGCTTCTCCTTATTAGTCGCCGCTCAACGCATCGTCGTCCGCTCTCACCATGGTGTCAGTGCCAACTGTTGGCGCCGCGGCTCCTGCAGCCACCCATAGCACGAATGCAAGCACGCGAAGCTCACCCAGTGCTCCCGCTGGCACCTCATCGAAACCGAAACCCAAGGTGAATTCTAATGGATATCACCCGATCAATCCACAGACACCTCTCAGCTCACTCACGAGTGCTCCGCTGGATCTGACCTCCGTCGAACGCCGCGGACAGCCAACCGCAGTCAGGGAACCAGTCGTCAAGCAGAGCCGTCCTCACGGTCTACAAGAAGCACCGACGTACCGCCCAACGGAAGAGGAATGGAAAGATCCTTTCGAATACCTACGGAAAATCACACCTGAAGCAAAGAATTTTGGCATCTGCAAGATCATTCCACCTGATTCCTGGAATCCAGACTTTGCCATTGACACTGAGGTGCGACAATCGGCGCATTCCCAGCGCGTTCAAGCTATCAATATGCGATAGCTGTCGGTTATTCGTGCTAATTATGTAGAAATTCCATTTTAGAACCCGAAAACAAGAGTTGAACTCGGTGGAAGGGAGTATGTGTTACTCATTTTGACCTTATTTCACTCGGCTCACATGTTGCAGGTACACGTGCCAACCTCACATATCTTGATGGGCTCTCAAAATTCCACAAACAACATGGCACCAATCTGCATCGCTTACCGTACGTGGACAAGAAACCGCTTGATCTTTATAGATTAAAGAAAGCAGTCGAGTCGAGGGGCGGCTTTGAAAAGGTTTGCAAGCACAAGAAATGGGCAGAAATTGGTCGCGATTTGGGCTATAGTGGGAAGATCATGTCCTCTCTTTCGACGTCGCTCAAAAACTCTTATCAACGATGGCTTTGTCCATACGAGGAGTACCTCCGACTCGCGAAACCCGGTGTTCACCAACAGCTGGAGCAAGAGTATGGTGGACCATTGACCCCGAGTCCTGCGCAAACTCCAGCTAAGCGATCAAATGTCAACACACCTCTCAGCATCCGAGGTGATTCCCCAGCGCGCAATGCTTCCGACGCACTCCAGGCCAACATCATTGGAGTGAAGAGGGAAACGGATGGCGACACGCCCATGCCCGATGCCATACCCTCTCAAGCTCCAACATCTGGTGGATTTACAGCAGTCAACTCGGGCGGGTTTACTCCCGCGAATGCTGGCTTCACAAGTGTCAATCGCAGTGTGACCAGTGAGCCAAAGAGCTTCACCCCTGACCCCAAGCGATTTGACAGCCCTGCCTCTTCAGCAAAGAACACTCCAGATAATCGGGCTTCAAGTTTAAAAGAAACAGCATTGAAGCGTCAACTTAGCTGCGAAAGCTCATCTGAATCGGCCAGAAAGGACATCGATATGGAGGATCCTGAAGCGGCTAGCGGTCGCCGCAGCAAGCGACTCAAGAAAGGTGAGTGATGACTGTTGGATTTCTCTTCCCTGCTGTCAATCCACGTTGTCGCAACGCAGAGCATTTCCGTTTCCGACTTGAGGAACATACGCAGGGATTTTAGCTGCGATGACCGATCCAGCTTTTCATTGGCTATATGATTATGGGCTGACATTTCTGTCGTAGATGCTGTCCCCACTGTGGCTGGATCGCACATGACGCCATTCCGTCCTTCAGTGCCCAGGATTCCGCGAGAAGAGCCACCACCACCAGGCGAGGTAAGTCAAGTCACCGTCAAAGGGGGATAAGCTGACTTTGTAGAAATGCGAAACTTGTGGTAATGGTGAAGATTCTGGCTCCCTACTGATTTGCGAGTCTTGCGACCACTCCTACCACCCAGCATGCCTCGACCCACCACTGAAACGGAAGCCGGATAACGAATGGAACTGCGCACGATGTCTGGTCGGAGATGGCCAGTTCGGGTTCGAGGAGGGAGGTCTTTACTCGCTAAAGCAGTTCCAGCAAAAGGCAAACGACTTCAAGCAGGGCTATTTTGAGAAGAAGATGCCATTCGACCACGAGCTCAACTGCCATCGACCTGTCACCGAGGAGGATGTTGAAACCGAGTTTTGGAGATTGGTTGCCGACCTGGAAGAGACGGTTGAGGTCGAGTACGGAGCCGATATCCATTGCACAACTCACGGTTCAGGATTTCCGACAGCAGAACGACACCCTCAAAACCCGTATGCGACTGATCCTTGGAACCTCAACGTTCTTCCCTTCCATCCTGAGAGTCTGTTCAGACATATCAAATCCGACATCTCTGGCATGACAGTTCCCTGGGTCTATGTTGGTATGATCTTTTCGACATTCTGCTGGCACAACGAGGATCACTATGCATACTCTGCCAACTACCAGCACCTTGGCGCAACCAAGACTTGGTACGGTATACCAGGCGAGGACGCTGAAAAGTTCGAGAACGCCATGAAGGAAGCCGTCCCAGAGTTGTTCGAGACTCAACCAGATCTACTCTTCCAGCTTGTCACGCTCTTGACCCCCGAACAATTGAAGAAAGCCGGAGTTCGCGTATACGCTCTGGACCAGAGAGCGGGTCAGCTCGTTATTACATTCCCGCAGGCTTACCACGCTGGTTTCAACCACGGATTCAACTTTAACGAGGCTGTCAACTTCGCCCCACACGACTGGGAACCTTTTGGACTGGCTGGTGTTGAGCGATTGCAACTCTTCCGCAGGCAACCATGCTTTTCTCACGATGAGCTTCTCTGGACCGCCGCGGAAAGTGCTGCAACAGGTCTAACCATTCAGACCGCAAAATGGCTAGCACCTGCCCTCGATCGCATACACAAACGAGAGTTGTATCAAAGGGAGCAATTTGTCGCGAGACATCTTGAAACAGCGCCTCATCACTGTAAAATAGGAGGAGGCAACGAAGATACATGTTCTTTGACACTTAAGATAGAAGACGAAGATGTCCAAGACGAAGACGAGCAGTGTTGCAGTTACTGCAAGGCTTTCTCGTACCTCTCCCGCTTCAAGTGCCTTCAGTCAGGCAAGGTTATTTGTCTGCTTCACGCAGGCTACCATGCTTGCTGTGATCTGCCCGAGCAAGCTCGATTCCAAGGCGAAGGACACATCCTTTTCTTCAGAAAAGCGGACGAAGACATGGGTGCGATCTACCGCAAGGTGATGGAGAAAGCACAAACTCCCGAGCTTTGGGAGGAAAAGTACGACAAACTACTTGAAGAAGAGGCAAGGCCGTCGCTCAAATCATTACGTGCTCTCCTCCATGAAGGCGAGCGCATTCCTTACACTCTCCCTTCATTTCCTGTGCTTCAGGATTTCGTCAATCGATGCAATGATTGGGTGGGAGAGGCAACAAACTTCATTGTAAGAAAGCAGCAAAACCGACACAAGAATGACAAAGCCTGGCAATCAAGCATGCGAAAATCGATCGGCAACTCTGAGCAGGACCAGAAAGAGAGAGAATCTCGGAATGTGTCAAACATCTATCGACTTCTCGATGAAGCCGAACACATTGGTTTTGACTGTCCAGAGATTTTCCAGCTTCAAGAGCGCGCCGAGGCTGTCAAACAATTCCAGACCACTGCAGCGCAGGCCTTGAGGAACACCTCCACCTTGTCACAGAAGACGGTCAAGGAACTCCTCGAAGAAGGGCGCGGCTTTAATGTGGACATTCCTGAGGTTGACCAATTGGTGAAGGTGCTAGAGCAGTCAGAATGGAATGAGAAGGCCTTCGCCAACCGAGGAGTGTATATGACTCTTCAAGAAGTCCAGGATCTTATTGAAGAAGGGTGCAAACTTGGCATTCCAACATACAACGACCATTTGACCTACTATCGCGACCAGATGCACGCTGGTCAGCAATGGGAGAAGAAAGCCAAGGAACTTATCGTTGCTGAGTTTGTCCACTACCCGCAGCTCGAAGCACTGTCGCGCCAAGTGCAGATCAACGTGCTTCCAGTTTCGCAGGAGACTCTGAGCGCAGTCGATCAGATCCTCCACAAGCAACGCGAAGCCCAGCGCCAGATAGTTTCATTATTGGACCGTTGTCGGCTCCCCGATTTGCATGATCGACCCAAGTATTCGGAAGTCGTAGAGATCCAGAAGAGATTGGAAGACCTTAACTCGAAACCCGATGGAACTCTTGAGCTCGAAAACGAACGCAAGCGCCACGAGGATTGGATGCGAAAAGGCAAGAAACTCTTCGGTAAATCCAACGCCCCTTTGCATATCCTCAAGAGTCATCTTGAGTATGTACTAGAGCGCAACATGGATTGCTTCGACATCGAAAACGACACGCCTCGAATGCCCGGGGAGCCAGTTTCAAGAGAGGTCAGCCCTGAGCAAGGATCCAGCAAATGGGACGAAAGTCGTTCCCGACAAGTCTTTTGTATTTGCAGAAGGGTCGAGGCAGGAATGATGATTGAGTGCGAGATGTGCCATGAATGGTAAGTTGTCACGAGAATGGCTTATACGTTACTAACTCCATTAGGTATCACTACAAATGTCTCAAGATTGCCCGTGGCAAGGTCAAGGAGGATGATAAGTATACTTGCCCGATCTGTGACTGGCGGATGAAGATTCCCCGAGATGCTTCGCGACCGAAGCTGGAGGAGCTGCTGGCCCTTGCTGAGGAAATGGCAACATTGCCCTTCCAACCTGAGGAAGAGGAGGTTCTCAACAAAATCATCGACAACGCACAGAATTTCCGAAACCATATTGCTAACTATTGCAACCCGTTATTGTCTACGGAAGCCGAGGCAGAGACGCAACGATTTTATCTGCGCAAGATTGAAGGGGCGGAGGTCTTGCTCACATACGAGACCAATTTCTTCCGCCAAGAACTCCATAAATGGTGCCCTGTGGCCCCTGAAGCGCCGCCGATCCAGGAGCAGTCCAGAAGTACACGAAAACCACGACCGACAAAACTACAGAAGATGTTGGTTGAGTACGGCGTTGACAATCCCGACGACTTGCCGGAGCACGCCCGAGGAAAGGCGAACAGTCTGCGCCGGAAGGCAGCCAACGCTGAAGCCGCAGCAGCGGCAGCCTCGCATTCTACGGGTGGAATTGGATCCGGGTATGGAGGGTCGGGATATTACCCACGTTCCGGTGAAGCTGGCAGCCCTAACAGCCACGGAGACCGTCGCGAATCGCAGTCCTCAGGCCATTCAAGAACCAATTCGGTGAGCCTGGGCAATGGAATGCATGCTGGGCCCCTCGGAGCTGGCGGTCCACAGCTGGTAGTTGACTACTCGTCAATGTCTTTGGAAGACAGAATTCTTCAAGGTCACGACGATGGTCTCAACTTCCAAACCGACGCTGAGAAGAGTAAAGCTTTGGAGATTCTTGCGAGGACCGAATTGGGCAGAAAACAAGCTGAGGCCATGTGGGGACCCAATGTTTGGGGAACCGGACGTGGATCCATTGAGAGACGCGTATCTAACCCGATGGACGAAGAAATGATCAAGCAGGAAGATGGTAACGTGGATCAGATGTTCAAGGAGATGACGAACCAAGACGAAGATGACGAGAAAAAGATCGATGCTGGGGGAGATGTCACCATGACCACAGCGTCCTTGGAAAAGGAGAGAAATGGGATGGACGCTCTTCTAGACGGGGAATGAGTTTGCAGGGGATGACAAGGGGTGATGGCGTTTTCGTTCGGTTCAAAAATACCAAGAAGGAAAAGGAGTCAGGTCGGGTCGGTTATGCCATTCGGTGTTTGTTCTTTGAGCTAAGTTTGTTTGTACGAGATCCATACAAGGGCGTCTGAGATGGGCAATTCAGAGAATACCACACCCTACAGGAGGGTTTACTGGTTTTCAGACCAGGTTATGTTATATAAACAATGGGCAGCTACGTTACGTTATTAATGAGATGATTTCATTCGAAGCTCTAAACATGGTTATGATATTCTCCAGGGCGTTGAGCCCGGACATCTAATGGGACAATGGCTAATAAACGCTCTACCCGCCTGTTTTCCTAGAAAATTTGATGACAACTTGGACCCGACCGAATTTGTTGAAGACATGGCCTCTTTCTTTCTTTTGTCCCAAAACCGCCCTTTGAAGGAGAACCTTTCCTGAACCGTAACGCCGAAAATGCAGACAAATCAATGGTGATGGTACTCAGTGCATGTCTCGTGAGATACACCCTACCTATACATGATGAATGTTCTTCATAGGCTTATCGTTTCCATCATAAGCATGTTGAAGATTGCTTCGGCCTTATATTGCGACCGTATACACTTTATCGGTTAATACCAATAAGGTTGAGGAACTCATTGCGCGTCTTGGACTTCTTCTCGAAGCAACCAAGGACACAGCTCGTGATGGTGCTGGTAGTAGTCTTTTCGACACCGCGCATCACCATGCACAGATGGCTCGACTCCATGACCACAGCGACGCCCTGGGGCTTGAGGATCTCCATGATGGCGTGGGCGACCTCCTTGGTGAGGCGTTCTTGGATCTGCAGGCGGCGGGCGAACATCTCTGCGATTCGGGGGAGCTTGGATAGGCCGATGACGGTCTCGTTGGGGATGTAGCCGATGTGCATCTGTGGGGAAAGGGGGAAAAAAGTCAGCTGTTTGTTTGATTTCTCGTGCGATTTCGGAGGAGGAGCGCAAACCTTGCCGGTGAATGGTACGAGATGATGCTCGCACAGAGACTGGGAATTGTTAGCTGTATGTTTGCAATTGAGTGACGAAAAGCACTTACAAAGATCTCAATGTCCTTGACAATGACCATTTCACTGTGTCCCTCTCGGAACAGAGCCTCGTTGACCATGGTTTCAATGTTGTCCTGGTATCCCTTGGTCAAGAAGAGCAGGGCCTTAGCGTAGCGCTCTGGAGTCTTGAGAAGACCCTCGCGATCGGGATCTTCACCGACACACTCTAGAATAGTGCGCACGGCACCGCTCATACGTTCCAATCGAGCAGCCTGCTGCTCCTCCGTCTCCTCTCTGCGCTCTCTCGTGCCACGACCTAGTACCATCAGTAAGCGCAACCACTACCAGCACCACCGATCAACCAAGGTAAAAACATACTGGGTCGACTGAGCCCGTCAAAGTCAATGACAGGACTAGGAGATCTAATCTTCACCAGGGCGCCCTCTTCTTCAGGAACGCTCTGGGATGCAGCAGCGCGGCGCTTCCGGGGGAGAGGTTCATCGCGGGGATCTCGCGAAGCTTTGGCCAAGCTATTGCGACGCTGAGCGAAAGCGCTGGGCTTTGCGCCATTGACAGCGACAGCGTCGCCGTTCTTCCTCTTCTTCTCCTTGCGCTCGCGGCGGCGCCTGCGGGAGTCGTCGCTGCTGGACGAGGAGCCCGAGATGCTTGCGACGTCGTGGGATCTCTTCTTTCCGTCTTCGGAGGAAGGCATGGTGGCAATAAGAACTGGAGAAGAGTAAAAGGGAATTGAGATAGAGCGAGAGAAGATGATGATTGAGGAGAAAGAGGGGAAATAAGTACTAGGTATCCTTATGAGTCAAGAGAAAAAACAGGCGATGATTGACGACAAGACTCAAACAAGCCCAAAGCCAAACAGTACGGAAACCGAATTGTTTGAGTCAGGGTCCAAATGTCTCTCTCACGCCAGATGCAAGCCAATGACCGGATCCAAACGCCGAAAAAATTAGAGGGGCTCCACGGGATTCGCGGGGAATGGGCTTCTGCTGCAATTATTTTCTGCTTTATCTTATCAGTTACCTAGCACGAGCTGTTTTGACGTCAACGGCCTAGCAGCGTTTGTCTCAGTGGACAATGCCAGTACAAACGGTCGTTGGCGCCGTGGATCCGATCATGTGGATACGCACGTGACTGGACATCACGTCCGTTCGGAATAGCAGACGCGTTATGTGCCTGATGCTCCGGATCATCCTCCGAAAGCCGTGACGAAGAGAGACGCCATCTTGTGAACGACTTTGCGAAAAACGCCGATATCGATAATACGTATCTCTCTGGAAGAACGCCTTCTCGGAACACGTCGCTGTTGCTGTTGCTGCATCGCATTGCTTAGTCACAGCGCCTTTCATTTTCGAACCTCTCCCTTTCACCACATCTCGAGATCATCACCATGGCTTCTCCGCCCTACGCAACCTCTCCATCAGGAATGTCACCGCCCTACCCATCACCCGCTCAGATCCCCAACAAGAAGCGCCCATCAAACCTCGACGGCTCCGCGCCTCCCCACAAGCGCCGCAAGCCCTCCCAAACCTCCGTTTCAACCAGCTCGGCCGCGCATCCTCTCCGCCAAACGTCCTTCCCCCCCGAAGCACGATCCCCATTCCCGCGGTCTCCCTCCGTGGACGCTCAGTCGCATGTGAGCGGCAGCGCAGTCAGCACGACAGCCAGCGGAGCGCCTAAGAAGAAACGCGGCCGCAAGGCGAAGAACGCCAAGGCAGATGATGCTCGTGAACAGACACCGAGTCTTGTTGGAGGACGGGCGCCGACTGCTGTGAGCGGACAGGGTGGTGAGAAGGAAGATGACGATGAGGATGATGAGAAGGCTGAGATGGCGCTTGAGGATGTCGTGGCGAGAACGCAGGAGCAGAAGCAGGAGGAGATTCGACTGCGAGCTATGCTTGTTGAGGCTTTTGACTCTCAGCAGTATAACCGGTACGAGCTCTGGCGTGCAGCAAAATTGGCTGATAGTGTCGTCAAACGAGTATGTCATCTCTACGCAGAGCCAAGTCTTGATACTGACATTTATAGGTTGTCAACGCTACGGTTTCTCAGTCGGTTCCGCAGAACGTGAGCACAGCTGTGAAAGCCGTCGCCAAGCTCTTCGCTGGTGAGATCATCGAAGCCGCTCGCAATGTACAGGGAGAATGGATCCACGCAGGAGAGAAGCAAAGCGAACTACCTACGCCCCCCCCATCGACAAACGACGACCCTGCCGCCGCAGAGGAAGAGATTGATCTCAAGCGCGGTCCCCTCCGGCCTGATCATCTACGCGAGGCCTGGCGCCGCTACAGACTATCTGGAGAGAGCCGTGGTGTAGGTGTGCAGCAACTCTGGCATGCCCAGCAGGGCGATGGAGTTGAGCGCTTTTCGACCCGTACCGGGAAGCGACTTTTCAAGTAAGCTATGACAAATAACAGGCGGCTACGATAAGTATGAAGGAGACTGCGATGCAAGAAAAAGAGCGAGTCACGATGAGTGGAAAGGAGATTGCATAGGATGATCGCCAAGACATGGTCCAGATCAGTGACATAGACTTGACTTGGCAGTTGATGGAGATGGGGATGGAGATGAAGATTCTTTCAAGCGTAATAATGATACCCCCAAAAGTCCTGAAACCAAACAGGAAATAGAACTTTGTACAATACTACCCAAATCGAGAACATGAACGAGCAAATGCCAAGAAAGGTCGTTTATCGGAAATAACAATGACCCGAACGAATGAGTATTCCCAATCCCTTGACAAGTACCTTGTGACTCGTAAAAGACCGAAATTTGCTCATATTGATCCAGTGGGCTGATGTATTTCCACGTGGTTGATCGGGACTTGCGCAAATCACATACGAAACAAGTAAAGCTTTGCACGGCACAATTTATCCAGATTGACAAACCTTGTGTACGAAGTCGCGAATGACATTCAAGTGTTCCTGTGCCTTTTAGACCTTCGTATACTAGCCGCTCTAAACCCGGTAAATAAGGACTGCCGGCTGAGTCTGGGAGTGTGGGGAGCTAGCTAGCCAGCAGGAAAAGGATGTTGGCTGTAAGACGAAGCTCGGATTTAGCGCACGCCATTCAGCCAGACAGTGCCGGGGTGGTTGATGCTGATAGGGAGCAATTTCCGTGGAGTGGAATCATCTTGGATCGCTGATAATACAACGCTCGTACTTGGCCGGCGGTAATATCTATCTCATGAGACTTGCCAAGCGGGACCGCGGGGCATATGGGAAAGTCGGCACGTACACAGCCACTTTGTGCAAGTTGTAGCTGTTGAACAGTCTTGATCGATTGGAGCCAAGTCTTGGCTGCTGAGGTCTCGACTCTTGACCTTGACACTCTGACAGTGGGCTCCGCTTGTCTTGTCTATCGAGTGCGGAAACTCCTACGGGGTTTTTGTCGTTTGTAGGGAACTCCTTGGTCAGGCTGATCATTGATGGATGATGTATTCAGCCTCGGTTCAGCATGGCCAAGAACACCATGTCATCGTATGGTCAGCTCGTAAACCCAACAGATATTGTTTCGACGAAGGGGAATCCTTCAGTGACAGCTCCAACGCCCAAGGAGTTCAGACCTGGTCTTGGCAAACCTTGCAGGGCCTAGACTCATCAATCGACATTCTGTCCCTGAGCTCACCGACCCTGCAACAGTGGTCTCTCCTCCAAGGAGATTGGTCTCAAGCTTGCCCTTCATCACCTTAAATCGTCAACATCGCAGCTTAATCGGCTATGAGGAGCCGAGAGGCTGGCTTGGCGGTCGGCTGGACCGAAAGACCGTGGCGCAGCAGCTGCGAGCCCAGCAATGCGTTGAGAATTATGGGGCGCCTAGTCCTCTGGGCATCCCGCAATCAGAGACAGAGCTCCCTGTAGCTCCCTGTAACACTCGGGTCTTATTCAGTCAAGGGAGGTTAGGGCGGAAAACTCGACATGTGTATCCACCAGCTTCTGTCTGTAAGCAACGTTTCACAGGCAGCTTGCAATTTGAGTCTTTGCGTGATGTTGCCGGGTCGCTGTGAGATGCTGTAATTATTGTAGAAAGCTTCATGAAACTCTGGGTGCGTTAAGCTTTGGAGCTCCTCTCGAAAAAAGACCAATAAAGTCAACAGGTCTGATTGAGCAATGCAATGCACGAAGTCGTGATAGGGTTGCCATGGTTCAATATGTTTAAACATGACTGGCGCTAGCGTTCCTTGACATCGGCTGGATCTGCACCGTCAGGACATGGATCTTTCGCCAAGAAGTCAGTGCTTGGCCATCAACGCGCGTCCTGCTTGGCGAGTCAAACGGTACCTACAACAAGAAGAGCTCAAGTCTCATATGGGCTGGCTTTCGCCGCCATCATTGACGTAGCTTAGACTTTGGATCGGCATCCAGATGAACTGTATTTGCCAATATGACAGGAGGAAAGGTGAGTTCTGATCCTCATCTTGCTGGCCTTTGTCGCCAGCTTGGTTCGTCCTGTTTTGCAGTGTACTTGGTCTGACACATTCCCCTGCAGAAGGAGGGCTCGACCAACCCATCAGCTGTCCGGATTCGTGACAACCAACGACGGTCCCGTGCACGACACAAGGAGTATGTCGAAGGTCTGCAGAAGAAGCTTCAAGACTATGAGCGCCGAGGTGTTGAGGCGACGTTGGAGATGCAACAAGCAGCTCGCAGTGTTGCCGTCGAAAACTCACGCCTAAAAATCCTGCTGGGGTACCACGGCATCACTAATGAGGACGTTGAAAAGTTCTTGCAGAGCTTTCCAGACCAACCCGCTTCAGAAGCCGCAAAGGCAACGATTTCACAGTCAACATCTGGTCAACCACTTCTCGCCGCAGCACCAAAGATTCCTCTTCAACCTCTATCAAGAGGACACTCAGCAGAACCCCCGAGGTCCACGTTACCGCCTCCCCATATCGCACCAGAGAAGACGAGTACTCGGGATGTGGTGGACGCCGTCGTAGGGATCAAGAGAGACGCTCGTAAAGCTGGTCTGCCTAGTGGACCAACACTTCCTCTACCAGTGGAGCAGCGGCAACCGCTGTTGCAACCACGACCTCAACCGCCCATTCTGCCAGCGTTGCCAGCTCTCGTCCTCGGTCAGGGTAGGCCAGACTCCAATCCCCTCGATAAACTCTCAGTTCTTGCGACAGCGAGCGTACATCAAGAACCTGACAAGAACAAGCACCACCGCACGCATTCAAATGCCGATAGCCTTCGTGTACCGAGCCCGTCAATACTAGGGCAGAGTTCGCCAGCGTCGTCACGTACAACCCCCAGTCGGATAAGTTCGACATCTCCGTGAAGCCAGAAGAACGGGTACGGCTGGAACACAGCACAACAAGTATCCATACCAACGTACATATTTGACAGCACAGTCCATCGAGGGAATATGGTTAAGGAGTCTGGCAGCGAATTCGTAAAAAGAGATACCAAGAAGCGGAAGGAGAACGGAGTTTTTGAAGGCGTTGAGCTCACTGAACGACACCATGAAAGGTAGCTTTGCCTTTGCCTCGTTGGACGTTGGCCGGGCACTACCCGACACAACCACAGGCTAAAGATCTTCTCGACACCAGCCACGATGTCCAGAGAAGATGCACCAGGTTGATGTCAATGGTGCTCAATCCAGGATCAGAGCCGAAAACAGAACGAATGGAAGCAATGCTGCCATGGCGCAGACGTTGACACCGATCAGTCGCATTGGAAGAGTTTCGATACATGATTAACGATACAAGTCGCTGGCGAGATACGACAGATACCGAGTTTCGGAGTTGGGATAGATTAGGATGGGTTTCGGGTTGCCGTTGTCGAGAGAAGTGATGCAAAGGGTATCAATCGAGTCCGGGGGAGGCTGTGCATCTTGGCGATTGAAGTTGAAACCTTGACTGGCATGGCAAACTCTGGGCGTGAGATGCTCGGATATAAGTAGGGCTGTCTCTAGTCGCTCAGATGGGAGGCCGCCAGGTGGAGATATAAGCTTGCAAGGGCGGAAGACTCCAAGAAGGCGGGGAACATGGTTTAGCCGCGCGAGTTGGAGGGCGTCTCTCGAAGGTTGTTGGAGGAAGGATTCTCAACATCTTGGTGTGTTGAGGCGAACACGAGACAGAAGCAACAAGTAGCCACACGAATAAACGTCAAACAAACAGCAACTTCTTGAAAGCGTTAACCTCATCACCGTGAACAGTTTGTTTAGGGAGGCAACAAAACTCAGAACCGGCAAGACTTTGGTAAGATATCATGCACCTCGGGGACCGATTGAGGAGTTTATTTCCTAAGCAAAAGATGTCAGAACAAACTCCTCATATTCCCATAGTTTATGATAACTTACCTGAGACTTGCCTCGCAGGAGAAACCCCTTTCGGAGAAGTTCTCTTCTCGGCCACTGGTATTGGAGTCCTCCCAAGCCGAGAGAACCGGGATCCAGTTGTTGATCCACACCGGCGTCATATTGACCCATAGAACTGCAAGGTTGTTGGATGTTTGGAAATGAGATTAGATAGGAAGGGATTGATAATCTCTCGGCCGAGTGGGATATGACAGAGTTTGCTATCTTTTGCTGTGGCTGTGGCTGTCGGTGGTGGTTTGGTGCAAGTACGTTTCCGCGGAATTGTTGAATTTGGCAGGGGCTAAGCTGCAAGTGAACAAAGGGGCGTTGCCTGGTGCGCTCTGTGCTGAAATGAAAACTTGGCAAGAATTGGTGTAGTAGATCCAAGGTGAAGAAGGCCGGCGAAAAGATCGAAGAGGAGGAAGAATGAGTCGAAGAAGAGAAGTCGAGCAGAGAGCGCAGAGCGCAGAGAAGCAGGAAAAGGACATCCAGAGGGAAGGGAAGTGGGCGAGTGACCGTGTTCCTGCCTCGACGGGGACCAATCTGGGAAACCTGAGTAACAGAGTCTCTCATAAACAGACGAAAGAGAGGCGCCTTAGGAATGAAAAGAGAAGAATACAATTGAAGAAGAAGGACGCCAAATAGAAAAGTCGGTGATGTGGTCTTGGATGAGCCGCACTTGCAAGCATCAAATTCATGACGTCGTGGGGAGTATACCAATCGGTACACGCGGGTGACAGTCACCGTAGCTTCAGGCCCTGCCGGGGACCGGAAAGTGGGTGCTAACCCCTGTAAGCCACCGTAACGATCGCCATCTCATGCGTCGACAAGGGGGTCAAGACTCCGTGGGTGAGATTTTGGTGCATGATTGGTGGACTCGCTAGGGGACTCGCTTGGTTCAAATAAGCTTAATCGTCTCAAGGTGTGGCTTCGGGTTGTCATCCGGGCAAGGTTGAAAGGCTCTTGGCCTTGTTTCGTTGTGAAGGGTTGGAGATGAGGAAAGCCTTGTGCAGTTGTGCAGTTGTGCCATTGTTCAGTTGGGCCGGAGGGAGAGGCTTGTTCGTGTAAGTCGAGGCCAACAACAAATCAGTACAGGCACTCGCCTGACTGTTCGTCGTTATTATGACAGCCATGGATTTGAACCAAGGTACACAAAGTTCAAAAGACCAACGAACCAAAGGCCTTCGAAATCTCACTCGTAACGGTTTCGCGGGAGGGTTCGAAGTTTAAATGCTGCCGAGGGCTAAGATGGCCGCGCGGCCTCGCCAACAAGTTGGTTCCATAATTGGTGGTGGCAGTGCATCCAACCTACTAATCGCATTCAACGTCACTCATCCGCGGAAGCTTTACTTGTAGTAGAAAGGCCCTGGAAAAAAGTAGCCAGATGTGTTTCAAAGGAAATCCACGACTGAGTTGCCAATTGCACGGCTGTGCTCGGTGGCGGCACAGCTGTAGCTGATTGGGGTTGAGATTTGAGGTCATTGCCAGGCCCAGAAACACCAAGCAAAGTGATCAAAGTGAGTGCAGATGAACAAAATTATTGGGAGTTTTTGTTCGATTGTGTATGGTTCCTTGTTACCATAGTAAGCATTACTTGACCTGGGACAGTACAATCGTCATCCTGCCGCAAGTTCTTTCCTCGAGGCAGCGCCCAAAACAATTTTCATCTTCCTTCCTCACCAGGGCAAGGGATTAGAGGTAGCTTTCCAACACTGGCATGATACAGAAGACTTCGATCAAACACCGTCATTCTTTAATCCATCCATCCATCTTACACTCACTCTTTAAACCGTCCATCCATCTTGCACTAAGCGGCATCAATAACCCCCCGTTACATTCTATCACAACACATCTATTTTCTACCCAATTATCACAACCATGAACGCCCCTTGGAAGCTTGACGACATCGTCACATGGGCCATTGACGACAACGAAAACGAACGCCTGACCTTTGCTCATATCCAAGGACCTCCAGCTTCACGCAAAGCGATCAGACTACCAAAGAAAATCCTCGAATCGCCTCGAATTTTGGACCACCGCCGCACCATTATTATTCAGGTTCTTCCCGATTTCAAGAGGAATGTAGTGGTCGAAGGTCGAGGGTTTTGGTCACCGAACCATCAACTCAAGCCAGACCAACGTCAACCTAAGCTGAAGGTTGAGACATACCGCGAATCTGTAGAAAGTCTCGGTATTGGCTACCGGGAAAGAAAATAGGAGAAAATGCCCGACGCAGAGTCAGACCGAATAATCTTTCTCATCGAGGCTGACCCTGACTATTCGGCGGAATATGCCCTAGCATTGGCAAACATCACGACATTCGCCCTACGAAAAACAACTGCCCAACGTGCATTGCATATAAAGATTGCAACTGTATCGTGGGAAAGCATCCACCCAGTCACGAGACAGCTATTCCATCAATACTCTAGCCTCTTCACGGGTGTTTCCGAATTCTTACTTGCAAAATATGAACGCGAGCCAGCACAGCCCGTGATTCTCAAGGACATGCCCTCAGATCTGCTTAAGTATAGCACAGTGTCCAATGACTCTGGGACTATATGCCTGCGTTTTCGGGACGCAATGTATGATGCTGAGGACCAGGATGAAGGGAACAAGGTGCCATCGCAATGGGATCCTTGGCTCACAATGAGCACCACAAATGGGGACTATACTTCCTTTCCACCAGGCCTGAAACAGCCCGGACTCAAGCTACAAATGATTCACCTGAATGCAAACTCGAGAATAGAAGAACTCTTGCCCCCCTCCTACTCTGTCAGCATTTTTGCGAGTCCTACGGTCCGGCGAGTCATCTTCGATCGCCGCTCTCATCAGCTGTTGCATACATTTCTGTGGATCTCAGAGTCGGAAAAACTTCAGCAGTTGTCATGGCGTTATCGGTCCCAGAGTTATCATTCTCCCGATGTTCTATGCCTTGATCACTTCACCAAGCATCGCGCAACAGAACGTCGAATGAAAATCCGAAATGAACACGCCGAAGGGTTCATGGCTGCCCTCCTAGATTACACGCAATGGCATCCTACCATTTGGGACTTGCTGAAAATTGTTCGAAGGAAAGATGATGTTTTCACTCACATTGGTGATCGCTTTATCTTCCAAGGACTTACGCTGAGCGCAGAAGATAGACCCAAATTACCACCAAGATTAAATAACGCCCAGGCATTCTATTCTCTTTTGCCACAAATCAATTACGACTCGCGTATCGCCTATTTCCTCACCCTGGAATCAAGCCCCTTGATCGCCATGATGAGAGTACACTTTGCCGCGCTGTTAATGTCGGGAAACGAGTCTCTGGAACTGCTCCATATTCAGAGGCTTGACTCGGGAACTAAGACAGCCATACAAGAATGCTTAAAACGATGCTCTCTGGTATGCGACCCCGGCTCCTGGGTATATCGCAGCACTCTATGGGCAACCGCAGGCCTAGCGAGTATGATTGATGCCGATGACGGCGAGGATCGTGCCATGACCCCTTTGGCTGATGGTAGCATTCGGGTTGTCACACTTGCATCCGTATATTTGTCGCATTTCCGTCAGACCATCGACAGAATCTTACGCGCGAACGGAATGCAAGTAATGGAATTGGCCACCATTCGGGAATCCGTGAATTACGAAAACTACAGGCAGATATCCCGAGACCTGCTGCGCGCATATTCACACCAAGTGGCTTTTACATCTAAGCCTAGAAGGAAATTGAAAGAGGGAGAGTTGCCCTTGCTAAACGACTTTATGACAAAGAAAATTTTCAACCCCAACCTAAGTCTTGCGGTGATCGATTGGGACTATCTCTTCAGTCAAGAAAATACGGTATATGGTGTGTATACGCATTTGAGGCGTTTGGGAAACGGAGGGACCACTGTCTGTAACTGGACTTGGATTCCCAGTGGAGTATGGAACGAATTCCAAGGAGAAATGGAAAAGGTTCGCAAGATGAAGGGACCTAGGGATGAGAAGAATAGCGATGAGTTTTGGCAAACCAGATTTTGAACCACCTGGCTCAGGGGGTAGAACGAGGTATTATTTGATCATTACAAAGCTGTAGAACAGAGACTAGCGTAACATAGCGTGTGTGCTCTTTTATCATCCTCAAGTTTCATTGCGGTGGGACGTGCGATTTATTGTCAATATTACTCTCCCAAGTCCAAGACGCCGTAGGTAGTAAAGCAAGAACTGGATGTAAACATTAGATAGGCGTCTCCGAAGATGGAGAGAAGCATGTAGTTTTGTGATTCGAGATGAACTGTAGCGATTTCGCTTCGAGAGTCCGAGTAACAAGATCCGCGAGGCATCAGTAGTATCTGCATTGACTTGTACTATTCCAAGGGTGCTTGGGCTTCTGAACTTGGTAACTGTTCACGAGAACAGCCCAAGAAGCTGGAGTGATAGCAAAGAACTGGTGATATTCTGAATTCATTGTTCTCGTCCACACATGTTGATCAGACGTAATGAATCGTATTTCACGCTTTCTATTGTTGCTGAAGAGATTTGCTGGGCGGCTGCGTGCCAGTTGCGAGCTCTAGAATGGGGTTTTGGTGGGAGATTCACCAAGCTCTTGAACAATAGGGCGTAGTCCCCTACTTCAACTACTTCACCGCACAACCTCCCTTTTCCTCCTTTGCACACACTCAACAATCTAAAACCACGAGTAAAGAGCAAAGAACTTGATCATCTCTTCTTAGTAAACAAACCCTTTCATTTCTCTTCACAGCCTTCACCATGACTCACCCAAAGATCCCAAATTTCGCTGCTATGAAGCGTTCCAGCCAAGCTGGCAACCAACACGCCCGACCCGTTCCGGAACCGAAGGGACTCACTTTCGTAGAGAGTATGACCCTCCTGGGAGTAAACAACGAGAAGTCTTCTGGCTTAAGACTGGTGAACAACTCTCCTGGAGGGGGACGTCAGGAGAACGTCGTCGCCAAAGTCCCTGGCCTCGGGGGCACATACTCGGCAATTGTCGACAACCCTGGGAGTCTGATAGACGCCTACAATATTTTGCCTCGTGGCAAGATCAGTGTGATCTTTGCTGTCACCCCCAACGGGTCGGGCGTCAACATGACGTCCACCGAAATCCCGTGGTCTGTCTTGAAGGCGCAGGAGGACGACGCCGCCACCGCCACGACAGAGAACATAATCGATCAAGTCCAAGCCCTTGATGACGACGAGACGGTCATTGGAGACGACGAGACTGTTGTCGGGGAAAACGACATTCCCAAAAAGGGGACCGTCGGAGAAAACAACGAGACGACTCCGGAGCCCACCACCACCACCCAACCCGTGAGCGATCCGAACGCTCTCTATCCTGACTCGGCGGGATTAATCATTTAAGAGAAAGGTCAGTGAAGCCTTGAGCGAGATGTGGAACAGTTACTCACATTCTACAGGCCATGACCGCGGAGTGTGCACCCAAGCACACGCGGGCCCATGATCCGACACGAAGAGTAAGTGCCCTGACCTCCAGCTGCTACACTTGATACTGACTGTGGAGTTGGGTAAGAACCCCGAAACGAGAAGTTCTAGCAGGATGAACCGAAGACCTGGGCAAGGTAGCTGCGAGTGTGCCCTTCCTGGATGATAGACAGAAGCCAATACACCTTCCCTTTCGTTCCCCTTCGTCGAGTTCGACTTTCCTTTTTGATACCCATTTGCCGCTACCTCACTTTCGAGGCAAGAGTGAGCAGCGCCTTCTGTGACCCAAGTACCTACATTAGAAACAGCATCCATCTCCCCCTCCACGAAAACATCAACCAAACATCATTCTCTTCTTGGCCCATCATCAATCACATCAACAAGCTTACGCATCCCATCAAAAACAACACATTCTCTATCATCACATCAATACCATCACAATCATGTTCTTCTACCCAATTTGCTGCTACTTCTGCATCCGAAGACACCGTGCCGCGTCAACCGCGAGCAACAGGCCAAGCGAGGAGCGAGCCCTCAACGGCGGGCCGCCAGAGAACCAAGACGGCGGCGAGCGTCCGCTAGACATCGAGTTGCCAGAAAATGATACTACGCAGCCAGATGTTCCGCCAGATGTTCAGCAAGGCGGCCCTCAGCAAGGCAGCAATATAATTTCATTCCCTCGATTGGAAGACAACCCGGACGGCAACAACCCTTCAAGTGATGCCCCTCAGCAAGCCAACCCCCAGCAAGCCAACCCTCAGAAAGCCAACCCTCAGCAAGCCAACTCTCAGCAACGCAGTGAATCAAGAACCGTGACGAGTCAATCCCCTTCATGCAAAGACCCAAGGGATGAAGAGCAGGATAACAGCAGTTCTTCAGATGATGCTCTGTCAGCCATTGTTGCTCGGTTCAACGAGGACCGGGGTCGCAGGGTATCACGCTACCAAAAGGTTACGCAACATATTTCTGAGAGAGAAAGAGATATGATAGAAGCAATGAGTCTATTCAATTGATACCTTGGTGATCAGAATGACGACACTTATCCGAATGTGGTTCCGCAGTCCAACAATGCTCATACCACCAGGGTATTTTAGGTCAACCAGGCCAGTCGAATGGTGGAAGCTGGTTGTGTTTTGGGCAGAGGGGACAGCCGGGCAAGGTGTGGTTTGTATTCATTTGGCGTTTCTTGTACCGGTCATCGCTAGGAGCATGTATTTGAGTTACGTTTTCGTCGTGTCTTCTTTTGAGGGTTGGCAGATCATGTCCATGGCCTGTTAAACGGAAGGAGAGTTCAGCGGATCGATCACAATAGCGAGTCTATTAGCAATGTTATCACGAGAGTCAATTCATAACATGGTCAAAGTCTTCTTTTAATATTAGCGGTCACCATACAGTAGTGTTAACAATAAACAATTGGTCTTTGGGGGGTCATGTTTTGGCGTACATAATTATGAGAAGACTCTCGATCCCCTCAAGCTTCTCTCATTCGGCTCAAGAGACTCCAAGTAGATGGTGCTCCCAGACGCAGGATATCCCTCTCCATCCGTCTTGAAGCCCGCCAATTCATAAATCAGCAGCAGCCTTGCGAAAAGAGCACTCCCCATTAGCCTTATCACAATGATGGCAGAGTCTCTAACGCTAATAAACACCAGGCTCGACAGGATAAGCGTCCCAAAGAGTGCTTGAAGACAATCGCCTACGTACAGCGCCGAAGCGAGAGTGAGAAACCAGCCCGTGTGTCGTCCGTTAGTTTTGACGTGAAGCTTTGGCTGCCATGCCGTTGGAGTTACTTCAGACCACAGCTTCCCTCGATCTTCCCATGCGGTTTTGGAGTCGACGGTGATTTTCAATCGTGCGGTGATGTACCCGAACAGATGGATTGCTAGAGCTGAAGCGGTCCAAATGGCGGGGAGAAAGTCTTCGGCTGGGGCGAATGTGCAGACTGCTTGGAGACAGAGCTGGTATGTGAGGTAAGCATTGTTTGCGACTGATGCAGCGGCGATGATGTACTCGGCCAAAGACACAATTGCCTGCGCTCTAGCAAAGCGTGGTACGCCAAAGGTAGTGGAAGACTCGGCACCCATCTTGGCGATAAAGTCATCATATTCCGACGCCGTAAGCGGCTTCACCCCAGAGCTACACATGGCCAGCAACACCGCCAGTCCCGGTCTTCGATACGCTAGTATCGCCGTGTCGAGGTACGAAGCACTGAGCAACTGAAGCACAGATGGAGCGAGACCGAGAATGACAGCTGCAGAAGCCAGCTCGGCTTTTCTGAACTCGGGCATCGTGGTGAGGATACAGTCGATGACTCGGTAGCCTGGACGAAGGGAGGGGCTGGATATGTTGAGATATTCTTGTATTTCGGAGGAGCAGTTGTATTTGAGTTGGTCCTTTAGCAGGGGCTGCCATGCTGGAAAGAATTCTCGGAATTGTTTGTTTGAGCGTTGGAGGGCTGTTGTTGGCGGGATGAAGGAGAGGATGGTAGTGATGAATAGCGTGAGGTTCAAAATGTTGGGCTTTACTAGTGCACTGGCCATTTTGATCGAGCTGAGCATAACAGCTTGTTGAGAGTTGAGTGACGCATCGTGGGAACAACGATAAGGCTGCCCCAGCAGGGGATACCCGCACTTTATGCCTGTTCCATGGTAAGACCCCAATCCTTTAGCTTCAGCCTCAAATCCTCTTCGTTTCACTACATCGGTAGTAAGCAGAATGGTGTCATTACTCCCGGTCAAAAACATACAGGCCCCTCGGGGAGCGAGAAAACATCAAGCCTTGGTACAGGGCATTAAAATAAACTTAGCAATTGGTATCCTAAATTCAGCAAAAATATCCCAAACTTGTGCTAATTTACCTAAGTTTTTTTGTGTTAGGACCAAGGCCCCGAGGTCTCTTTCGTCTCGTGGGGGCTATCTTCAGCCGCCAGCCTTGTTCATGTTCTGCAGTTATGATAGGGGGCCTCAATGTGACCGATGTGACCGTCGTGCATGTCACATGCAGGATGTGAGACATGGGATGGGAACGGAGTTATTTTTAGGAATGCTAGAGGAGGATCATTTGTGCTGACATGAGAGTATTCGAACCATTCATTGGGAACAACGACCTCCTACTCTGCATGACCTCACCTCTATCCTGAACCACAAAATAACCAGGGCAATTATTAAGCTTGTAAAGACTTGAGATTACTTTCGCTATCGAGTCTGAATGCCTTATCCCCCGCAGCCGCCTACAACTCGGCTTTGTAAGCTTTGGTAGGAGATGTTCCTTTAAGACAATGCCAACAATCAACCAAACAATTTATGATAATCTACTGATTAATAAACGAAATTGTACATATATCGGAGGACGGCTTATTCTGTATTTGACTGGGTGAACGGCGTCTGATCCGGTGAGGGGTCATCATGTTCATTGGTCCTGACAGATCTGTGGCTTGCCCTTACGAAAAATAGCACAATTCGGATAGTTTGATCGATTCAAGTAATGTCCGGGAGACCAAAACCTTGACGATAGAGTTTCAGCTAGGATGATCGGCATACTCAGGACACTAGAGTTCTTCAATACATAAGCTATCCAATGACTCTGTTTCTCACCGTGAGATACCAAAATTATTCAACCCCTTTCAACTTCAAGATCACAAAACAACAGTATTTCAGCCCTCTCGATACCACCATGTCTCAAAACATACTCATCACCGGTGCAGCGGGTTACATGTTCGTCTCCCAATCTTCTCTCGCAAACAACTAACAAAGCCAAAAGAGGAGGTTCCATCGTCGCAGATCTTTTATCCAAGCACCCTGAGGTCACTAAAGACCAAATCGTTGCCGCCGTCAGAACAGATGAGCAGGACAAAGCTCTTTCAACTCTGGGCATCAATGTCCTCAAACTCGATTTATCAGATGAACAAGCCATTATTGACGAAATATCGTCTCACAAAAGTAATAAACTGCTACAGAATGAGAATTTCGTACTGACGGCCTCCAGTTAGTGTCATTGTTCACGCGGGTAACAGCATAAATCCCGGGCTAGCTTTACCTTTGATAAATGCTCTGGCAAAACAAAGGGAGGTAGCTGGGAAGCCAACGTACTTCATCCATGTAGGTTATTCAACTGATTGAAGTGTGACTTCTGACATCAGCAGACCTCAGGGTTGAGTGCCTTCTACGCAAACTCTGGCTGGCCACGCAGTGTCAATGAAGACACAGATGCAGTGTTTGAGACGGAGAAGGAGTTTGCAGACTCGTATCCAGTCCGAAAGGTGAGTCAGCCTGTATAGCCTATGTATAAGATGCTGACATTTCAAGACGGATGTAATGGTCATAGAACATGCACAAGCCCAAGGCGTCACACCATTTGTTGTTGTACCTTCTATCGTCTGTAAGCGAAATCATGCCTTTGCATTGATTTATGTTGACTGGTGAACAAGATGGAAGAGGAACTGGCGCGTGGAATCAACTCTCCGTCATGATACCAGGCCTGACACGAGCGAGCCTCAAACTCGGAAAAGTGTACAAATTCGGCGAGAATATTGTAAGTCCTCTACTAAGTTATAATTTCGAATGCTGACGAGTCAAAGTCGTTACAAGCTGTTCATATTAGTGATCTTACGTCTCTATACTGCCGAATTATACATGCTGTTCTGAACCACGAAGAAATACCAAGTGGAAAAGAAGGATATTATTTTGCAGTTGCTCACGCCATGGATATGTGGGAATTCCAAGACTATCTCGCCGCAGCCATGAAGGCTCGAGGCCCTGTGTCAAGCGATAAGCCCGAGGTGTATCCTAGTGATGAGTTTGCTGCAGAAGCGATCGATTTGCCGGTTGAGTTTCTGGAAACCCTTTACAAGTCCGGGTAAGTTATTCCTTTCTTTGTTGAGGAGGTTCTGACGATGCAGGGGTCATTTCACGGCGACGCGTCCTCAGAGTATTGGTTGGAAACCAGAGTGGGATAAAGAGCGGTTTTTGAAGAATGTAGATGCTGGGATTGAGGATGTTCTTGAGTTGAGGAGGGCAAAGAGTAGTCTGATTGACTCTCTGTTTGCTTCTGTTGGAAGGGCACGTTGACATTACCCAGCGATGAAACCAGTACCGGGCAGAACTCTATCTAAGGATGCTTATCAGCTACAGATGGCTAAGATCCCCTAGCAAAACCTTTAGGTACCCTCTCCCACTTACTGGAAACTCGTAGCATAGTATGGGGTGTATATATGCTTCTAAACTATTCCAAAATAGTCAAAATGATCTAACATTCATCCGATTTCCTTACGTTTTCAACAGTGTCGTAGCCAAATATAATAAGATTATAGTAGAGTAGAGCAAAGCTAATGCCCAGCCGTTAATCTGATAATTCGCTCCCACCAGATCCCATATATTAGAACACTTGAGTTTGTCAGTGAATCCTATCTCTCCAACCTCTCTCATTAGGTACTCAGGACATCAATAAGTCCATCTTATATCCCTCCTCAATCATCTGGTTCAACTGTAAAGCTACCACAATCAGGTCACTCAATATCCCATAGTAACATGGGGTTCAAGTTCTTTCTTCGTCCACTCCCAAAGTTGATCACGAAGCTTACCATCCTTACTCAGCGACGACCCCTTCCCCTGTACACCGACAGGGAAGTAGAAAGCACCAGACTTCACATCAGGACTAGTTGCTGTCCACAGATGGTTCAGCGTCCCCTCCTCGATGCTCACAGTAACGAATTTCATGGCAACCTTGAACAATGCGGCCATCAAAAAGTTATAGTCCTTAACCACCGGGCCACTGAGGTTGGTTGCAATGACTCCCGGATGAATACTCATGACTTTGAGGTCTGTGTTGTGATTTGCCAGTGCTTGGGCGTAATGCACCGATGCGAGCTTTGACTGGCCGTAACGAGTCCATGTTGAGAACTTGGGCAACGTGGTCTTTAGGTCATTGAAGAGATAGGAGTTCTTGGGTGCCATGTTCTCGAGTTCGGAGCTGAGAAAGATAACTCGCACGTCGGTAGATATGGCGGCGGTTGCTTTGAGGGTTGGTAGGAGCAGCGTTGTGAAGAGCGCGGGACCGAGATGATTTGTCCCGAACTGGATCTCGTATCCATCCTCCGTCAGACCTTCTGGTACAGACATGATCCCAGCATTGTTAATCAAGATGTCTAATCTGTCAGACATGGTTCTAAATGTAGCTGCAGCTGTCTTTATACTCGCAAATGAGCCTAGGTCGAGCTGAAGAAAGGTAACAGGTCCTGCATTGGGGTTCTTCTGGCGGAGTGTCTTGATGGCTTCGTTTGCTTTTTCTTCTGATCTGGCTGCGAGATAGATGTGCTTGGGCTTGTGCTTTGATAGCTGATAGATAACTTCGAATCCTAGCCCGGTATTCCCTCCTGTGACTAATATCACCTTTCCAGAGAGGTCAGGAATATCTTTGTCTGGGCTAAAGGATACGCCTTTTGTCATGGTTGAGATCCGTAGCTCACGTTTATAAAAATGAATAATGATAAATGAAATAGCACAAAGAACCTAAACCAAATAGAAGTCACTTTTTATTCACTAAAATCACTGGCATTTATACTAATCAATCCATGGGGAATATTACTTGGTCATAGACGCGTGTATAGTTTGAGTTTCAGCATGTGGGCCTGTACGTGACATCTAGTTCCATTTCTATTCGCCAACAGTCCCTAAACGAAACCAACGCTAGAGCCGCTTCGAGCTAGCCATCCGGTCTCTTCATATACGGACTTTCCCAAGCGCGAACTCCTTCACGCAGCGGCTTAGTTAATGCACCGGTACCGACATGAGCCCGCGCGTTTGTTTTGATAGACTTGCAAGTGCCGGAATAGTTCAAGTTAGAATCTCGCACATCGGAGAAGAAGGAAAAGTGCGAGAGAGGCCGAGAAACTCTGATTCCACGCTTATATACGAATATCATACGCCATTGTCACGGCCTTACAAACCATTCTTGAAAGTCCGTTGCTTAGAAATCCTATAATTCCAATCTACTTTAGCAGAAATGTCGATGAAGCGTGTTTACTGCAGGTATAAAGAGCCATTCTCACATCTCCTCTCTCAGGCTTCCCCTTACAGCACTATCAAACATCAACAATCATCACTTACCAAGTTACCTACTATCAATAAATCATACACCAAGAGCATATCTTTTGCCAACTCACGACCCTTAAGTATTTCAAGACCTCAACTGAATCAGAACACAATGTCTCAGAACCGTGGAGCCGTCAACCCTGCTGCCCGAGCCCCCCTCGAGGTCAGGCCACTCGACACACCTACCCCAGGACCCGGCGATATCCTCGTCAAGAACGAGCTCATCGCCATCAACCCAGTCGAGGTCAATATCACCAAGAACGACTTGTTCAAGTCCAAGTACCCCTGTGTGATCGGTACATCTTTCGGTGGTGAAGTCATCGCTCTTGGCGAGGGCGTTTCCGACTTCAAGGTTGGAGACAAAGTCGCCGTCTACGCCAGCCCAACCGATGGCGACAAGTATGCTGCCTATCAGGCCTATGCGTTGGCCAAGGTTGACACTACCATTCTCGTCCCAGAGGGCGTTGATCTGGCTGTCCCTGTGAGCATGAACGGGAACCTGACCACTGTCGTCGGCATGATCAGCGCCACAGCTGGTGTACCCAAGCCAGACATTGAGAGCAAAGTAGTCGCCTCTGGCAAGAAGATCCTTATCTACGGAGGAACTTCTAACCTAGGCAGCTTGGCTATACAGTATGTTCGCCGGGCAGGCTACAGCGTAGTCACCACCACCTCACCCCAAAACAAGGCCTTTGTTGAAACTCTCGGCGCCGATAAGATCATCGATCACAAACAGGATCGCGACGTACTTGTCAAGGCTTTCATTGCTGAGGGACCCTACGATGTCGTCGTCGATACCATCTCCTATCCCAACACTGTCAGCATACTTGCCGATGTCCTAGCCGCCCAGGGCGGCGGCACAGTCTTCGCCACCCTGCCCCCCTTTGGTCCGGAGACACTGCCCCAAGGTGTGGTCCGCCAGTATACCTCGTGGCCATTTACCCTGTACAAGGAGGGCAATGAGCACTTCATCAGATGGGCTTTTAAAGAGTTCTTTGCCAAGGGCATTGCAAGTGGCAAGCTTGTGCCGACGCAGATTGAAAGAGTTGGCGGTGGGTTCGAGGCGGTCAACAAGGCTTTGGATATCCTAGGAAAGGGTGTTAGCAACTCCAAGGTTGTTGTTGAGCTTGAGAAGTAAGAAGAGATGGATTGTTAGAAAATGCTGGTAGACTAGGTAGTTATAGATGACGTACGAAATAGACTAGTGTTGCAGATAAGAGTTTATGAAATCTAAAGTGAGACCAACGATTATAGTGAAACTTTATATCCTGGATTTGAAACAAACAACAGTCTTGATTCTTGCCCGCCAATCATGTTCCCTTGTATTCTTGGCAGAGTATTATCCAAGTTCCGCTACTCTGATTGCCTTTGATGGGTTGAATTCATCGTCGACAGAGGACAGGGATTTAGTCGGGGTATAGAATACTACGACAAACCGTAGGTCAATCCAATTCTAGGCTCATCAAGAAGCTCTCTGCTGTCACAATTCAGGAATGGTCTGGAGCTCGGAAACATATCATCAGAAAGACACGAAAGATATCCTGCCTCAATTTGCATCTTACGAAATGGTCGTTTCTTTCAAGGTTGGTGGTTGGAATTGAACATATCTTGAGCACGTCGTTTCATAAAACATGGGCATTTAGAGTATAGAGACAAGCTAAAGTCTGGCTCGACTGAATACAGACTGGTGTCACTATAAATAAAATAAGCATTAGGTTCAACAAATAGAGAAGGAAAGTAATTGAAAGATCAAGGCGACAAATAGTTGCAAGATCTCGATATGACCCCGAGACACCATATCACGCTACCACTTACAATGCCTGCAAACATCCCTATATAGATCAAAAAGGAAATTCTCACCTTCTATGCTCCGAACCTCCGAAACCTATTTCACCCAATGCGACTACGATCCAATCGTTATTATCCTTGTATACGAGACGGTTATTCTAGAATACGCGGCTTCGCTTCTATTGCTGGGGAAATTCAGTCTTGAGTCGTGATTGGTGGAGTTTTTGACTAGATCAGTCGGTAGTCGGCACTTGATGGGGCTATAACTTACCAGATATGATCATATCGTCCGAATAGGAGTTTCAGGTCAAACACGCAGCCAATCTCCGAAGCACGGATACTTTCTAAAGAAACATTATAAAGAAGCCGCCAAGGCCTTGTCTACTCTTCAATTCATCTCTAATCCATTCAATTCAGCCCTACAGTTTCAGTTCCACCTTACATTCCTTTTCACCATGAAGTTCTTTACTGCTTTCTCTGCCCTTTTGGCTGTGGCTTCAGCTACACCTACTACTTCTCCTTCAAAGACCCTTGATAAACGAGCTACCACCTGGTGTGATGCTTTCGGGTCCCTCCAAACTGAAGGATACACCGTTTACCACAACAACTGGGGCAGCGGCCAGGCTACGTCCGGTTCCCAGTGCACCACCTTCAACTCTGTCAAGAACAAGTCCTTCTCTTGGTCCACCAAATGGAGCTGGGCTGGTGGGAACATCCACGTCAAGAGCTACTCCAACGTTGCCCTTGAGAACATCAACAAGAAGGTCTCGGCCATCAAGTCCATTCCCACAAAGTGGACATGGCGCTACAGCGGAACCAACATGGTTTCCGATGTCTCCTACGATCTGTGGCTTGCTCCCTCTGTTGGCGCTGCTAACAAGTACGAGATCATGATCTGGGTTGGAACCTACGGCGGTGCTGGTCCTATCTCCGACTCTGGATCTACTCCCCTTGCGACACTTACTCTCAACGGTGCGCAGTGGAAGCTCTTCCGTGGACCTAACGGCGATACTACTGTTTACTCTTTCGTTGCTACCAAGAACCAGGGCAACTTTGAGGGCGATCTTCTTCCTTTCCTTACGTACCTCACCAAGAGCCAGGGTGTTCCCAGCAGCTATGTTGCCACAAGCTTCCAGGCCGGTACTGAGCCTTTCGTCGGTAAGTTTTGTTCCTTGTGTGTTTTAGTTCTCAAGTTAACGTGTCAGGTTCCGACTGTGTGTTTGCTACATCTGCCTACAGCCTCTCTGTCAACTAAACTGCCTGTAGCGCAGATTAGCTGGCTAGTCTTTTCTTGTATTATAAATATCCTTGCTGTATATAACCTGAAATCTGCATATCACAATTCAAATAGTCTCTGCAAGAAAGAGCTTGTTATTCAATATGCCTAAACTGCTACGAAGTTCTCAAGGACCCGCGATTCATCGGATTTCAATGGATTCAATCTTGGCCTTCCCTGATGCCAGAAACTCCGAGACCTCGCCATTCATCAAGCCTATCATAAAGCAACACCCAACAAAAAGGTAGTGGTCATCCTCTGGGCGGAGGACTGCAAGTTCGTTAGAGGCTGCAAGAACACAGACCACATCTCCAGGCAAAACAGCCTCTGGCATCGTGCCAATATAGCCATCCTCCGTTATAAATAGCTTGTTTCCGTAGAAAGCCCTTCCCGCAAATATCCACTCGGCTAGTACCGCAGCTACGTATGGCTTTTGTAACCATTGTCTTCTCCACTCGCCCTGCCGAACTAGACGCGTGGGCGAAAGCCATTTGCCAATGCAAAGGCCGGCGTTGAAAGCAAAGTTCTCATATGTTCTTGTTTGGAGCAAAGTGCAGCAAAGTACCTCTAGCACGCTTTTGCCGTTGGGATACATATCCTGGGGTGATTGTGTAAAAGTCATGATACATTTTTGTAAACTGGTTGTCATGAGTTCATAAGACACGGGCTCATCGTAGATAGTTTTTACAGTCTGTGCCTTGATACCGTTGACCCAGAAGCTATCGCCGACAATATCTATAAGGAGATTGTTGAATAGCTCAGGTACTGTTTCAAATGCACAGTACCTTATCTCAAGATGCCTTTCAGAGTTATTTCGTCTGCCGTTCTTTATAAACACAGGAGTCCAGCTTGGTAGACCATAAAGCCGTTTAAGGCCAACAGCATGGCGATTCAAGAAGCTGTAATGTCCCAAGCGCCATCCTTCTTTGATAACAATCCGATGATTCAAATCCATTGCCTTCTTATGGACAGACTTCCAACAAGAAACAACCCACGTCATGAACTCGAGATTAACCTCGCGGATGGACTTGGTATAGTCAGGTATGATTGGCGATTCTGTCACAGCCAAGCGGCCGTACACACAGTCTAGAGCATTAGAAGCTTCGGAATCTAGAGAGAAGTACAAGCTCAGATACCACATGCCACGCCTAATGCTTTTAATTTCATTGACCTTACCGGATTCCTCAGCTATAAGGCGGGTCACGAAGACATACAAGATTTTCCAGGCGTCTCGTTTGAGTTTTGCAATAGCGTACCGTTTTAAAGAATCCTTTTCCTTGCCAGCCTTGCGTTTTAGGTAGTTGTCTATTCCGACAAGTGCCACGACACATGACGAGTGGTGAATGAAATAAGACGGAGATACAAAGTATAGCTTTCTTGCAAGAATGATCTCCTGACGAACCCAAACTCTGTTCCAAAATTCTAGTTGACAGAAATTCGATACGGCTTCACAAGGCCCACTGAAAACCCAATGGAAGCGTGCTTCATCAAAAGTAAAGCCAGTAGAGAGCCAAGACGACTTTTCCGGGTCCCAAGAAACTCCAGCAAATCGCTCAAAAATTTCGCCTTCTGTAAGACCCGTGGGGTTGAGTGTTCCAGCATATTCTTCGGCAATGTGGACCAACCGTTCGAAAGTCTTGAACACTTCGCTGACATCTTTATCGCTGGAAGAAAGCCAGGCCAGAACCATTGCTGCCGAAGAGTAGATATCTGCCATCATGCTGACTCGGTATAGTCTTTCAGTTAAATCACTTTGGTTGATACAGAGTACATCAGCCCACAAGCGGAACTTGGAAGTGTCGAGTTCAGGATCTGCCTCTCGCTCGATAACAGTCCAGTGCTTCTTCACATGCCGAAGTGCAGTAGCGAGGGTGACGGTAACTTGCCGTGGGACACCATCAACGATGATCTCTTCTGTGACTTTCGGGTCACCCCAGGCGTAGGCAATGCAGGTGTAGTAAAGATCCGGTGTAAGGAGGACGGTGTGGAGTTTGCAGTTGACTTTGCCGTCAGGAGTGTTGGGAAGGATCTCAAGAAGACGTATCTCTCGTTTATCCTTGTTGAGGGGCTGGTAGAGAGGCGGATAGGAACCCGCTGCTGTGCTAGAGGACGCCATGTGGTTGAGAGTGATCAACAACTAAGGTAGTGAGATGGAGTTGCAGTTGTTGAGACTTGCTAGTAGTTGGTGAGGTTGACGAAAGACGAGAAAGTCTGTCTCGCGATAGAGACTTTATATAGTTATTTGGGGTTACACGCAAGGCTGTAACTTGTCGAATTGTTTCCTGCGTGGCAGAAGGATTATGTTTCATTCTGGCAAAGGAGTGTAGCCTGTAGTCACAAAGCTATCAAGCACAGAGAAAGCAGATGGAAAACAGAGGAGCAAGAGACAAACCGAAGGTTTCATGGGACTTCTGCCTAAGTGCTTTCATGACTGAGAAACAGTATGAGGTATCCTTCAGATATTGTTGATTTATCTGAAAGCTTCACCCCTGGTAAGCTTGTCAGTTGGATAGTGATTAATGATTTCTTTGCTATTGACAATTCGATTAGTGTCCTCCATGCTAACCAAACAATCTTCATCGTTTAATTACACCCCTAATCTCAAGCTTGTAAGAGGCACAAACAGGTTGCTGTCTAGGCAGAGGTTTGGTTTGTTTTCAAGCCTCACATGAGACTTTTCATAAAGGAATCAAACGTCACAAGGTGAAATCAGATGAAATCTCAAGGGCACTCTAGTTCTACTTTGTTAAATCAGAGGAAACAGAAAAAGGAAACACCTGATTGCATAAGAGGAGTGATTGTGAGAAAATCTGTTAATGGATTGTTATGCAGATTTCTTAGTATGATGATAACCATTCCTAATTGCATCTTAGACTTCTGGCATATTCTATGATTCCGAATTGTCTATAGAGTCAAACCGTATTCATTTTGAACTTCTTGACTCTATTTTGGTGATCGGCAAGTCAGAAAACAATATTGCATGGTGCCAAACATGATGTGCACCTCAAAAACTTCACCTCCATAAACACAGTAACACGGCGCCAAACAGAAAGGGATTGTCCAGCAACTCGCCACAGCCAAGAGAGCCTCACTTTGCTAGGAGATAGATTTCTTCGGCCAAGCACTTGTGGCAAGCTAGACAGAATTTTCTGCCAAATATTGAGCCCAAGCCAATAGCTCAGCAGCCAAGACGCGTCACATAAACTCTCTACGGATCGGCGAACATGATTGATGGATCAGATAAGATTAGACAATGACCCGACGCTAAGACGACACTGGAATGCCCTACCTGAGACAGTGTCTAGTGGCTTGAAAAGGAAAAAACTCAATGCCATGCCAAGAAACGAATTACCCAACGTCCAAGCTTAGTTCAACCGAGGAACCGACATCGTCCGACATCGCAGGAACAACAATCGAAGGATCAGAGCTGTAACTGTAGTGGATGTGATGTGATGCAGCTGAGATCGACGACCAAGTGGGTTGATGCACACTCAATGCCCACGACAATCACAATGAGACGTTATCAGATCGATCCCACGTCCACTGACACATTCACATCGTCTCTTCACCCCACGTCGTCTCACCCCAATCGTTCGCCGACATATCCTCGGCCGGCGATTTACCTGCATCCCGCGGCCCTTTGACACAAAGTCGCGTGTCCAAACTTCCTAATATCCGATGCCCCGTCCCCTAGATCCCTTCTAGACCGTGCTCAGTGGATATTCCCATCAAATTTTTATATTCGCCAAGGAAATTCGGGACCCGACGATGTGGAATGACACCCCCAAAGAGGAACTCATCCGTCAACCAAGAAGCTTAGGTTTACGCAGAGCCTCTCACAATTGGACCCTCGAATTACCAGCCAAGAGACGGATTCTCAAGTGGCATGTTATCAATCAATCTCTTAACCCAAAGCAGTTTATATCCGCGTCATCCGGGTACTCTCAGATTTTTCTGAACCAGAGGATTTTGTGGAACGTTGCATTTTTGCGGACAGCGCCGAGGGAAAGACGATCCCTTCCTTTTGGGGGATTGCATCGGCGAAACCGCAGGCAGCTGTTTAAAACATCCTTGTCGTGGGATTGGGCAGAGAAGGGAAATAATGGCTGTGGATCAGTGGGTTTATGTTGCCCTCGGCTGACTTGACTAACGCCAAGAGTGAAGACAGTCGCTAATCAGTGAAACTCTGTGATACAAAAGTTTATTGGGATGAAGATCAGAAAGTCACTTCACGGGTTGAACTCCACGATGCTTCGAGTACAGTAACGCAGACAGTAGCGTATAATTGAGTACAGCTCAGTAGACATCATCCGCCACCTTCATCATCACCAAAAATCCCCGTCGCTGCACGCTACGGACGACACTAATATAGCGCATCAGTGGCCTCCCAAACTCGCATGACGCCCCCTCCACTCCCTATCAGATCCTCCGAAAAGTTCTTCACTCGGCACGTTAAAGTTATCTAATCAATCTCGAGTGGATCTACCCTCCCAACCTATAAACCTTCCTTCCTCCCCCCGTAACTCCTCCACCATGCTCTCTGTTTGCATGAACCCTTCTCTCAGTGCATGAACTCCTCCTCTTGAGGTTCACTATTCACAATGTCCGCCCCAGAGAAATCCCCCGACAACGACCACGGCCATGAAGTCCCCCCTTCAGCCGCCGACGCCGTCCGGGACATCACATCCCCCGGTGTCCAGCGCATCAAGGCCATGTCCGAAGTGATCACCTTCACCGACCGCATCTTCATCTTCTTCGGTGTCTTCCTCATCGCCTACGCCTACGGCCTCGACGGCACCGTGCGCTACGCCTACCAGCCCTCCGCGCTCAACAGCTTCCAGGAACACTCGCTCCAGTCCTCCGTTAATACCCTCCGCGCCGTCATCGCAGCAGCTGCGCAGCCCACTGCGGGAAAGATCGCTGATGTGTTTGGTCGTGTGGAACTTATCTGTATCTCTGTGTTCTTTTATACCATTGGAACTGTCGTTGAGGCTGCGGCGCAGAATCTGGATACGTACTCTGCTGGTGCGGTCATCTACCAGATTGGATATACTATGATTATTTTACTTGTGGAGGTCATCATTGGAGACATCACGTCTGTGCGATCGCGTTTGTTCTTTAGTTACATCCCCGCTCTGCCCTTCATCATCAACACCTGGATCAGCGGCGATGTCACAGAAGCTGTCCTCGGAGCTACGACTTGGCGATGGGGAATCGGCATGTGGTGCATCATCTACCCCGTCTGCGCGCTCCCTCTCATCATCAGTCTTCTCGTCGTTGGACACCGCGCCAAGAAGGCCGGCCACCTCGTCGGCTACCGCTCTTCGTTCCAACAGCTCGGCTTCAACAAACTGACCGTCGAGCTCTTCTGGCTTCTTGACATCATCGGTGTCATCCTCCTCATCGCCGTCTTCGCCCTGCTCCTCGTGCCCCTCACCATCGCAGGAGGTTTCGAGAGCAAGTGGTCAGACCCTCAGGTCGTAGCCCCCCTCGTCATCGGTTTCGTCTGCATTCCCGTCTTTGTCGTGTGGGAGCTCCGCGCTCCTCACCCCCTGGTTCCCTTCCACCACATGAAGGACCGCTCCGTCTGGGCACCCATGGGAATCGCTTGCATGCTCAACTTTGCCTGGACAATGCAGGGCGACTATCTCTACACCGTTCTCCAGGTGTCCTTCAACTTCAGCATCAAGGCCGCTACACGAGTCCAATCGCTCTACTCCTTCGCAAGTGTCATCACCGGCACAATTCTCGGTCTTATCGTGTACAAGGTGCGCCGCTTCAAGGTCTTCATCGTATCAGGAACGTGTCTCTTCCTCGTCGCATTCGGTCTCCTCATTCGATACCGCGGCGACCCCAGCTCCGACAACAAATCCGGCGTCATTGGCGCACAGATCCTCCTCGGTATCGCGGGTGGTATGTTCCCGTACCCCGCGCAGGCCTCGCTCCAAGCCTACGTTACCCACGAGCGACTCGCCGTCATGACGGGTCTGTACCTCGCGCTGTACCAGGTCGGCTCGGCCTTTGGAAATGCCGTCTCCGGTGCCATCTGGACCCAGGTTCTCCCTGTGCGACTTGCCCAGAGCTTCTCCAGCTTCGGAAACGAGACTCTCGCTGTGTACGCCTACTCTCAGCCTCTGTCTGCCATTATCGACTTCCCTGTTGGTTCTGACGAGCGCGATGCCATGATTGATGCGTACAAGCACGTCCAGCGCCTGCTTACCATCACTGGTATCTGTCTTTGTGTTCCTCTTATCGCGTTCTCGCTGTGCTTGCGTAACCCCAAGCTCACCGACCAGCAGAACTTGGTTGAGGATGAGAAGCCCGGTGCGGCTACTGAGCGCTCTTCGGCGTCAGCTTAGAAAAGTCAAAAGTATTTAAAAGTTGTATGTAATGTCGTAATATGGTAATTGATCTAGCCTAGCGCTATTTGTTTAACTTCTAGTTCTCTGAACACGCCGTGAATTGTCCAACAGTCGAAGTCTAATTGATGCTCTGCGAGGTCAATTGTCGTGCATAACAAGCCCCGAACAAGATCACGTCCATCTCGAAGTCCAGCGACCATCAGCTTGTGTACAATCCAGGTTCTCAACTCTTCTGACTGAAGCGGCCGAAGCTGTGTTTGACGACAGTAACAGACTCAACCCAATCAATCGCCTCGCATTAATGCATTGCTACACTCGGTTCATTTGGCAGTGCTAACAATGCCCTTCAATCTTTTCTCAGCTGAAAAAGAGCCAAGAACTCATAATCTTGTGATATCCAACACGTACCTGCATCTCGTCATCAATCACCAATCATCCCCCCCAAGAATGTCGTCCCGCTGCAAGACACCTCATCTCATCACACTGCAAGGAACAAGCTTATCCTCGTCCAACCCACGAAAATGCCAAATCATCCCGTCTATACTCTCAACCACGGAGCTTTTGTTCCAGTCCACCATGTCCCCAGCTCTTCATTATCGTCTACATGTCATCAAGATATCCCCTCTCCCTCCAGCCAATCCATTCTCTTCCTCAACGGGCCTCCTCGTATTCTCTGCATACCCCAAAAAACCTCCGAAGATACCGTTTCTCGCACAGCATGTGGTTCGTAAGCCATTGTGACACGTGTTGATAAGGTTCTCATCTAAGAGTACGAGATTTCCTACCCAAACTGCAGTTATTTAAAGCTGATTCCAGGATGCTCCTTTCTCTGTGGCTTGCGATATTGACAGGCCTCAAAATTATCTGGGAATATATTGGTCTCGTCAGCCGATTTTCATCTGTTAGGAGTACTGATTCATGCTGTGCTACACCAAAAGTTAAAATGGCTTACGCCTCAACTTTGCTGCAATGGGACCTCGAGAAGTCATTGTTTGAGCATGATACAGGTAAAATGGGTATATAAGATATGTCTTGTCGTTCAGTGGTGAATCATCAAGTGGCCAGAAGGCATCCGTTCGTTACAGTCATTCGTTTAAATCCCCATTATGAAGTCATTCACTCCCCTCATCGCCTTTCTGGCAAGTTTCGCCGTCGCATCTCCATGGCCATCGCTCTTCAGTCGCGCTCTTGACAAACGACAAGCTGGACGATGCGGGACTGGCTTTGGAACCGTCTGCGGACCAAATGAATGCTGTTCCAGCGCTGGGTAAGTCGCTTACTCCCCTTCCAATGACGTACTGACATTCAAAGATGGTGCGGAACTGGTTATCTTTACTGCTCTGCTCCCTCATGTCAGATCGAGTATGGTCCTGGCTGCGACGCAAACGTTCGGCCCAATGGCCCTGATACCACGAGCGTAGCTCGTCCGAAAGTTGGGAGTATTCCGTATGGTCAAGCTATTTATCGGTGTAACCGCAATGGCGACATTGCGTTGACGTATGATGATGGACCGTATACTTACACCGAAGACCTTCTCGATCTCCTCCAGGTATGTCACCTCCTCACTTCTTCTTCTTATCCCTCTAACAATTACAGCGATATAATGCTAAAGCGACATTCTACATCACCGGTCGCAACCTCGGAAAAGGCGCTATCAATGACCCCGATACACCATGGCCAGGTCTCATTCGGCGCATGGTTCGGGACGGCCATCAGATCGCCAGTCACACATGGTCCCATCAACGTCTCACAACGTTGAGCCGCTTTAAATTCTGGAACCAGATGATTTACAACGAGATTGCCTTTGCTGATATTCTCGGCTACTTCCCAACCTACATGCGTCCTCCGTACTCTGCCAGCAACACCACTACAGATGCGTGGCTGAATGAGCTCGGGTACCATATCACGTACTTTAATCTGGATACAGAAGGATATCTACACGATAGTCCAAACATGATCAGCACATCCAAGCAAATCTGGGATAACACCGTCGAGGGTACAAGTCCAGCTACCAACAAATGGCTTCACATCGAGCACGATCCCGTATATCAGACCGTCTACAACCTCACGGAATACATGCTCCGCTCCATCAGGCGCAACAACTTCACTGCCGTAACAGTAGGTCAATGTCTCCAAGACGCCCCCTCAAACTGGTATCGCACCGTATCGTCGTCTCCCTCGCCCACATCAACATCCTCATCATCCCCCACATTCCCCGCTACTACGAACGGCCGCTGCGGCTCACGACACGGCGGCGCAACATGTCGCGGGGAGCCCAACGGCGAGACGTGCTGTTCGCAGAACGGCTGGTGCGGCGGGACGAGCGATCACTGCGGGAGAGGATGTCAGCCTGTGTTCGGGACGTGTAGCGACACGCCTGAGCCTGCGGCGCCGGGGCGATGTGGAGCTGCGCATGGGGGCGCGAGGTGTACGGAGAGTGGATGGGGATGTTGTTCGAGGGCGGGATGGTGTGGGAGTACGAGTGACCATTGTGGGACGGGCTGTCAGAGTGATTTTGGGACGTGCAATTAGTGTGTCTACTGTGTATAAATTAATTGGGTATGTACAGAGTGCTAGACTAATGTGTTGGAGAGTGGAGGAGGAGGATGTAATATTATTCCCGAGTAAAGCCCCGACCTCCATTGATCTACGGTTCTGACATCAGCAGTCATGGCAAATGCTCGGAATGAATTATGCCGATTCTTGGCCAACGTTCAGAGCGTCGTTTAATTTAGTCGTGTTAATTTCAGGGGCAAGCCATACAAGCCACGAGCGTGATGCTTAATCTAGCGGCATCTTGTCAACATTGGTCTTTTGACAAGGCATACTCTCCCTGTCCTCTACTAATCCCTTAGCTATTCCAGCTCTCTCTCAGTCTCGTATCCAGAGTTTAACTCAATACAGCATCTATCTCACTCAATACGAATACTACATTCCACGGCAATCGACGCTCAGACTCAAAAACACTCTCCGCACCAAAACGCACGCCAAGACTTCAGCCCCAAGCTTGGGTGACTCTGATTGGTCAGTGCGTACGCTATTCTTTCAGCTCAGGCTTTTGATGGGACGCCATAAACATGCCGTTACCCCTGAATGTGCTGTAGGGCTGATTCGTGACTGGATCACGGCACATGGGACCATAACTAATATCACATTGGCGAGACGTGGTGAATCCTTCGGGCGGTGGGTGGAAATGAAGTGAGACTAGTCAAGGTGCTAGAGAGGGCGTTTAATGGGGAATATACACTATTAAAGGATGGCTCGATCCTCTTGTTCTGCTGTCTCTCTCTTCTTCACAACCACACTCTCTATCTCAAGTCTATCTTCAATCTATCTCAGATACCTTCAAAATGCAGTCCATCATCCTCACCTCCCTCCTCGCCACCGCCGTGAGCGCCAACTTCATGGCCCACCCCCTCATGAAGCGCGATCTCCTCGCTCCCCGCGCAACCGCCCCAGCCGTCGGCGGCATCACAGAAGAGTGCCAGACCGCCATCCTCGACGTCTACAAGACGCTCCCCACGCCTCCCCCGGCCATCGTCTCCGACATCACAGAGAACCCCCAGACCGACCCCTGTTCCTTCAGCACCCCGGCCTCCCTCTCCAAGGACTACGCCAGCTACAGCTCCCAGATCCTCAGCTGGTACAGCAAGAACGAGGATGAGATCAAGTCTGCGCTGTCCGAGTGCCCTGAGCTGAGCCAGTACGCCACCGCCGTTCCTGTCTGCGCTACTGCTGCTCTTGGTGGAAAGGGTAGTGGTTCTGAGGATGCTACTACTACTGCTGAGAAGCCTGAGAAGACTTCTGCTTCTTCTGGTGACAAGACTACTGCTGCTGCGGGTGAGGAGACTTCTGCTGCGGGCGAGGCTTCTACTCCTACCTCTTCTGCTGCTGCTGTTGAGACCAACGGTGCTGCTCGTGAGGGTGGTTTCATCTACGCTGCTGCTGCTGTTGCCGGTGTTGTCGTCGCTGCTCTGTAAGAGGCCTTTGACGAGGAGAAGTGGTTGGCTATCTATGAGATTTAAGTTTATCTGCTTTTAATACAACACATGTCTCTTTCACAGATATTGTCTAAATGTATCATGAGCACTATCAAACATGTGTGAATGCCGTCTTATGCAGTCATGACATCTGATCTAGTGGTTGTCCATTAACAACCGTTTGAGTGTAACGCCACATCCATGGTTTGGTCTCACTACAGTCCAAGCTTATTTTCATGATCCGCATTCTTTGTACATTGATTCGGACACTCAATTTTATGTCAAACATATGTACTAACAAACAAACCGCACATTCCATCATATTCACTGTCATCTCTGCCCTCAGCGCCAAGCCAAACGCCCAACCAACAAAGAAGATGATGGCCCGTCACCTCCATCTCCTTTCGCTATGGTTCAAAGGCTTTTTAATCTGCCTCTTTCATCATTCATAAATACCACATCGTCCCCCCGTCTCTGCTCAACCAGAATCTCTCAACTTACAACTTTAACCATGGACGCAAAAGTCACCATCGCCGACAAGCTCGGCCGCGGGCTCACCAACGGCATCCACTTCGTAACTCGCAAGTGGAAGGTCATCATGCTGAGCTACATCTTCATCATCTCAATCGGAAGCGCTCTTCTCTACGTTCACGACGGTTCGTCTCCTCCCCCTCTGTCCCTCTCCCTACCCTCCTCTCACCTCCTTAACTTCTACTAACACCATCAGAACAACAACCCTCCCTCCAAACCCGAAGCTGGGGCGGTTTCGACGAACGTCCCCTCTCAGAGAAATGCTACCGCCAAGAACGCACCGCCATGATCCTCTCCCTCCTCTTTGGAATTCTCGGCGTCGATCAGTTCTACGCCCATCACTGGCCTCTCGCCGTGTTCAAACTTCTCACTATTGGCGGACTGGGTGTCTGGTCGTTTGTGGATATGATTCTTTGGATTGTGGGTGGTGTGTACGGGACGCCTGGATGTCCCGGGGGTAGTTCCAAGGGATGGCAGTACTAGGAGGCTTGGGGTGGGATGGAGAGGTGGTGGGAGTGAGCAGTCATTTATCATTCTTTGCTGATGGATTGTGTTAGTGGTATTGCTGGGATTGCTGTTTTGGTGATGAGAAGTAAATAAAAAGATCGCAAGGTCATTCGTTCTTTGGAGTTTGTAAGATGGCTGACTTACACGAAGTAATTGAAGCTGCAAGTCTACGGCACAGTAACCAACGTCGATACAGATCAGACCCTGAAATCAATATTTATCACTACGCTCAACACCATTTCGGGATCCAGTTGAGGCTTGCCTTCAATAAAGCCACTTCGCAAAGGCACATCTTAATCCCCGTCCACCAACACAGCCATATCATTCATGTCACAACACAAGTCTCCATCACACATCGCAAATAACTGCCATGTTTCTTTTCATTATACTCATTGATGCCATAGCAACCCTGACGAAATGACCAATCCTTTTCTACACCAGCCATCTAAGCATAAAAAGCACTTATCACACTTATTCCTCGTCCTCCTCACTCTCCTCGTCCTCAGCTTCCGGCTCGCTCTCAGCCTTCTGTCCATTAACGGGCTCCGCCACTTTCACGCCACCCTCCATCTCAAGCTTAAGCCACTCATCCCACTCAGGGAAGAGCTCGTCGTCCTCGCCAGGCACGCCGATCAGCTTGGCTACCCTGCCCTTCTTGTTCTTCTCCAAGTTCTCCTTCCACTCGTGTACTACTGGTACAGTCAAGCTGGGCTGGTAGGTCTGAGAGAAGAGGACAGCTTCGGCGAGACGGCCTGTCTCGGTGAGAATCTTTGTGCAGGCTTCGATGTTGCCGAGGAGCCATTGGCATGAGAAGGCGACGTTGTGAGAGCCGGCTTCTTGTGCTTGAGCGGCGAGGGCAGCGAGACCATCGCGGTCACCTGTTGATGAGTGGAGAAGTAAGAGAGATCCAAGATCCTTGGCGTGGGTGAAGCACTCGGCAGCAAGGGCGACATCCCAGGCTGATAGAGCAGCGTCGCCAACAGTCTTCCACTTGTGATCGGCATCAGCCTCGCGAGCAAGGTCCAAAGCGATAGCAAGCTCGTTCAATGCCAGTGCAAGCTCAAACTTGTGCTCAGGATCTGTCGCAACCTCCAAGGCAAGCTCCTTATGGCCTTGACCTTCCAAGAATCGCGCAATCTTGTTAAGTTGGTCCTGGGGAATTGTCGGTAGCAGCTCAGCGGCTGTCTCCATATCCTCCCGGAGGACAAGAGTCTGGTACTCGAGAACAGGAAGTGACAGGCCGAAAGAAGTGACGTTGACATCCTTGTCGGCAAGGTAAATTCGAGAATCGCGCTGAATGTAGCCCAAGATGTACTGGGGTTTGTCGAAGTGGGAGACAGTGTAGGTCTGGTCGCCGACAAGGTAGTTGAGTCGGTTGGTGCTGTTGGTGTAGATGAAGCAGTCGCCAATCCATTCACCAGTTCGGACACTATGTCGTTAGCATGGTAGGTAAAAAGGGAACGGAGGACATACGACTCGCTAATGTCAGTGATAACCTCAAACGCGGCCTCGACACCATCCTCCTCAACTTCTCCAGACTGGACAGCCTCAACGTAGTTCTCACGAGAGAATCGCAGAACGTAAAAGGTATCCTCACAAGCAATCGTCACCAACTCGCCGCTATCGGACCAGTAGACCTGCTTAGGCTCAACCTCGATTCTTCGAACGAGACCACCAGTAGCCCAGTCAAAGAAAGAGACACCACCTTGACCTGTGACACCGAGAAGAACACCACCGTGGAGTCTCTCGGCCTGGAAACCAACGTCGAGACCGCCGCTCTTCTCGACAAAGTTCTTGAAGATCTTGACGCTCATGGCTGACTCTCGAATAGCAAAGTCATTGCTGTTGTCCTTGGAGGCCCAGACAAAGTCGAGTGCTGAACCGAAAGCCTTGTTTCGCCACGCGAGGGCAGTGTAGATGATGTATTCGCCATCACCGCAGACAGCGACGAATCGACCGTTGGGGGAGTGGATAAGCGTTTGGGGGTAGACTTCGCAGGTACCGAGATCCTTGGTGGGGAGGGAGATTGGCTCGTTGTCCTTAATAGAGGCATCTGTCTTGTTAGCTTAATCCATTAGTGGCACAGTACCTGTGTACATACCTCCTCCCTTGATGATTGAAGAGACAACCTCGTTGTGTCGGGCCCAGATGAGCTTGCCGGATGCATCCATGGAAACAGCGGGCTCCTCGCGACCAAGCTTGACAACAACAGCACCATCATCGAAACCAACAGCAACACCCTGCTTGCCCTTTTGATACGAGACACACCAAGCTCGCTCTAGACTGTAGTTGAGGGATTGCTCGAATCGGTAGGTGTTGGCGTGCCATATTCTTATCGTACCGTCCTCGGAACCGGAGATGATGACGGGCAATTCGGGGTGATAGCAGGCAAACGAAACGTTGTTGGTGTGACCTTCGAGGGTAGCGATCAGGGACTTTGTAGTGTAATCCCAAATCTTGACAGTTCGGTCGTCAGATGTGGTGAGGAGATAAGGCTTGTCGGAGTGAGGGTAGTAATCGACGTGGTTGACACCCTTGGTCTCGTGTGCCTCGAGGGTGAAGTTGGGAGTAGAAGATCCAAGACTCCAGATCTTGACAGTTCGGTCAAGACAAGCCGAAGCAAAGGTGTTTGTATCCTTGGGGTTGATGGCCAAACCCATGACATAGTGGCCATGGCCCTCAAAGACCTGCACACACTTCCAACCCTTCTCCCAATCCCAAAGCTTGATGGTCATGTCATCGGAGGCAGTCAAGACGAACGGCTGTGTGGGGTGAACGGCGATAGCTCGAATGTAGTCGGGGTGCGCCTCGAAGGAGGTGATCTTCTCGGAGGTGTTGTAATTGTAGACTCGTAGTTGGAAATCATCGGAACCGCAGACAATCCAGTTTTTCCTGGCGATGAATCGACCGGCGCGAACGGGGACATCGGTGAGCTCAAAGGTTTTGACGATCTGTTGGGTTTCGTGGGACCAGATGTAGACGTGGCCTATACTGTCAGCATTGGATCTCGAGCTCCCGAGCTGTACATACCGCTGTAGAGGGTTGTGAGAATCCATGGCTCGTGAGGATGGAAGTCAATGCCCTTGACTCGCTCACTGCGAGCGTAGAGCTGGCGCTGTATTGCGAAACGTGTCAGCTCAGATCGCACAAGTAAAGCTGCCGCCGCAGATATCGAGTACGCCCGCCGTGAATAGCACTACGCTGATCATCGGGCGCACTCAAGAGATCCCCAAACTGACCTTGACGTCTAACTTCATCTTGTCGTGTGTCGTCGCTGTCGCGTTGCGCAGTTGAAGTTGCAAGCTGTCCAGCAAGGGCGGTGATACCGAGGTAGTGGGGTCGAAGTTAAGAATCCCTGAAGGAGGCTACCATGCGGGATGACAGGTGGTCGCAAGTGCACAGAGATTGGGGGAGAGGTAGAAAAAAACAGAGGGTCAAACGCTAATCATCAATCGTGATGTTTGAATTGACAAAGCTTGAGCTTGTATATTGATTTGGAGCTCCCCGAAATGTGTCCTGCGGCTCTTGACAGGCTGGCCATGGATGTGGTGTTGGCCTGAAGTGTCAGGCTCCACCTCCTTATCCCTTCTTATCAGGGATACTCCAGAATAGGGGGCTGTAGGGTAGGTGAGAAACCGTCAAGAACTCCATGAGATATCATGGTATTAGGTGTTGGTGCTTGAACAGAATTGGGTTGGTTATGCTTGTTACCTGTTTGTGCTTTTTCTTCTTACTTGACTTCCGTGGTTAGGTCGTTTAAGTTGTTTGAGTGAGGTCAATTGTTAGTTCACTTTTTCATATCGTTTACAGTTTCATTTACATGTCCCCAGTCAGAGAGATTTACGTAGCCATGTGAAGATGAGAATTTACAGTCCTTGGACAAATTCTGCCACATTCAGAAGTTCCAAAAATATTCTGATCTGTTTATAGACCCTCCACAACTCAGCCAAGAGATCTCGACACGCGTCGTCTTCGTACATGATGAATAGTGTGGCTGTACAACAAGTTGGTTGCTTCACATCAAGTTATCAACACTATAGACACTGTACACCAATTGACACTCTCTGGCTGCTGGCTCCTTGGGCATTAATGGCATTGTTTATGAACTAGTCTCGCTTCACCTTCTCATTTACCCCTTATGTTATGGATTATTTGGCTGGACCTCGCTCTAGGCTCATTCTCTAGCTGATCAACAAAGCTAGAGCCCGTGGCTGTGGCTTAAAATCGACCTTACGGGATTACTCCAGACCATCTCCACAGTCTGAGCTCCTGTGTCGCAGACTGAGACACTGTGTTTCCAGCACCAGAACAGCACTACCATCGACCCTAGCCCACAGTGCGGACTGCCTGCGGGAAGACCCACCTTTTCTGCTGTTGCCCAATGGGCCTTGGATGTCATGGCAATCCCCTTCTCCCATCCATCCCCCGTATCCACCTCATTCATATCTCGGCTGGTCTTGTCTCGGGCTCTTGTGCTTCGCCTCCTCCTCATATTCAACCTCTACCATCTTTGTTCAATTTGGACCTCCTTTCCCTTCAAACCAGTCGGCGCATAGTCTCCTTTCGTCTCGTCGACTTGCGATCCTTGATACAACCAAACAGCGGCCGGTTTACGCTTCCACGCATGCGGGGTTACAAATCATCCATTTGTTGAACACTCTGCCACGCCATCAGCCTCCTGCTTGATCAGGAGTTTGTCAGCGCGCAGTGAACGCTCGCTGCTTGACCCTTCGATCCTGCAACACTTGTTAGCTGTCGATCCTTGACCCCAACCATCAAATACCTCGTTGAAATCAACAACAATGTCTTGGAAGCTTACCAAGAGTACGTCTACATGTCCGATATCTGTCGCATTACTAACATCCATCAGAGTTAAAGGAAACCCATCTGGGTCAATCCTTGAGCCCCTTCTCTCGATCCCCCTCTACTTCAACCATCACCGAAAAGGAAAAGGATGGCCAGGCCAGCGGCGCTGT